AAAAAAAAAAAAAAAAAAAAAAAAAAAAAAAAAAAAAAAAAAAAAGACACTACTGTAAAAAACAACAAAAGTTTAATGAGTCAAAATCATGCTTCAATCAAAGCAACACAAAATAGTAAGTCTTGCAATAAACCAATTCTTCTTCTTGGGGAAAAAAAGTTACCATATTATATCCTTGAAGTCCTTTTGGTGACTAATAATAAACTTAAACCATATATTTGCATATGCAAAACTAGTAAATTAACCACAGAAAACATTTCTCTGTGCAAAACAGGTAATTACTTACTAAATGTTTATGATACCCAAACTACTAGCTTTTATGTGTCATTCTGCCTTATTCTAATAAAAGGTTCTGGGAAATTTTATTTTAAAGTCTGTACCTTCATCAACATTCCAAATGACCACACCACCATAACTGGTCAGATAAAGTGATGTGTCACTTGATTTGCCATGACCAATTAGGTAGTGTGGGCCATCACGTTTATGAACAGCACCTCTCTGAATCATACCTTACTCATTTGATAACAGCAGAACTCCATTTATATGATCTAATTGGGACTAGGGCGAGATTGGATAAATCAAAAATTCAGATAATCTGGAGAATGAGAAGGTGCAAGGCTGCAGCGCTGTCTAGCAGCCAGAGGAGAAATCACTCACTTCTGGACCTGTGTGCACTGGTTGTTCGGTTAATACAGAGAGCTGGATAGTGGAGGGTCGCATAAACAGAGTTCTATTGTACTTATCCAGAAGCCTCTACGTAGAGCTCCATTTGAAACTTGATGTGATCAACTGGCACCCAAAAGCTGTGGAAATTTTTATACCTGAACATGTACAAATACCACAACGAAGTCATACTACTATATAGTTATTCATCTTCATCCCATGAAACACATGTTCTAATAGACTTTATGAAAGAAAAAACGAATACACACAATGTTATTTTAATTCCAGTTACTGGAAATCAAAACTGCAAAGGAAGATTAACATTAATAACATCTGAACAAAAAATTAGATGCAGCATTATACTTCTGCAACAAGTCCTTTCTAGCTATCTTTTAAATTAGCAGTGGCCGGGCTATGTTCAAAAATAGTTTAAAAGCTTTGAATCCCTATACTGTGTTTGTTAAGTAACAGCTGTCACCACGGTTGTCTTGGTAGTGTTGGCAAGTGCTCTGCTTCTAACCCAAGATCAAATATATGTCAGGGGCACAAGTGTAGGTGACATCATATCTTTACATCTAAAGAGCAACTGCAAAACACTTGTATTCGTGAGACTGAAAATATCCTCTTTGGTTTTTAAAAGGCAGCTTACAGAATTCCCCTTCTTTACACTACCTACCTACACAATAAATCACTGATGCTAAAGGCATTTTATCAATCAAAATTAACAAAGGACATTTCTGATTAAAAGCACTGTAAACTTTTACATTCAGTTTTGAGAGATTTGCACAGGTCTAACTGAGGAAGGTAGCATATACCAATTCTAAACACTAATGAAAAGATAATAACTCACCTAATAACTTTGTTCAGCTACAGAGCCACATCAGTACCAAACTACTAATCTCTCCACTGCTTTGATGAATATAATCTACTTGAAATCAATGCAATTCCAAACTGTTCTGCAAAGTTTTGTTCCACAAACTCAGCACACCCTGACTGATTGCCATATAGGGAAGTGATTTTTTCTGAATGAACATATTTTCCTTCACACTCAGAATTCTGCTAACACAATAGTTTTAGTCATTCTGTGTAACACAACATTTAAAAAACTAACTCAATGTTAAAACCATAAAATCTTTGAGCATACATAAATAATATATTGTCTCAGAAACTGATAGAGATTTAAGTAGTTCTTCAAAGGTTTCAAAATCATCCATTGAGAGGCACAATATCCGAGTGTAGATTATCCCTATAATGTTAATTTGCTGTACCACTAGCAGCATATAATTTTTACTATCTATTAAGCATAATCTCTCTCTCTCACACACACACACACAGATTGAAATCTGGCCCTGTTGAAGTTAATGAACATTTTGCCATTGACTTCAACAGGCCAGGATTTCACCCAGAGCCTCTAAAGAAACCATTTGATCATTTTTTGTATAGCATTCTCAATCCCTAAGATTAATTGCTGTGACACAGACTTTTTCCCTGAATATCTTTTGTTTATACAGTACCTAGTACATTGGAAACCAATCATAGTAATAATAATAAATAGTTAATAATTCACCAAATATTGATTTTGATTTTATTTTTACACCATAACAGCAAATCTATTAACAGGAATTCTGCAGTAGTTGAAAACTGGAAGGATCAGTTTGTTTAAATGTACATAAATATATATATATGCATGGTTATTAAAGAACACATTCGCACATTTTGATTCAAGCAGAGTAATTTAATTATTTTGTATTATTTTATGTGTTTTATTTCTTAACATTCCCTCTTTTACCCTAAGAACTAATGGTCATGACTGTGTTGTAAGCAGTACATGGTGTACTGTATTAACAGTTCACACCCAGACTATCCTGGCCTCCATCTTTCCCATTCTTCCTGTTTGGAGCTTTTAAGTAGTCCTCTTGGGTATCCTGCTTCCTGTACAGAACTACTTTCCGCCAAGACAATCAAACTCTGGCAGTGCAGTCAAAGTCCACAGGGAATAAAGATGAAAAGTCTGATGCTTATAGGCAGTAAAGTGTAAAACCTTTAAAATAAATCTTTGCACCTTATATAGGTTTTCCTACCAGTTCAATTTACAGAGACTCTGTTAATGAAGAAAAATATTAACCCAGACTCTTGTGTACTGTTTATGTTTGCAACTGTGTGACCCACAAAATTTATATATTCTTATAGATAGCACATTCATGCTTGTATGAAAGAAAGCTCAGAAGTCCCTGAGGCTTTATGCAAACTCTAGGGAGCAGGGGGGAAACCAACGATAGCCTAAGTAACCAGAAACTACTGAAATATTAATTGAGCCTTCAAATACAAAACGTATTCATCATTTCATAACTTTAAAGAAGACTGACAATTTTAAGACATTATAATGCTGTTGCTTTATTTTTGTGCTCATCCAGCAATGAAAAGATTTTATTTCTGATTTGCTAAATTAATTAGTTAAATTATGTGTAAAGACATGGGGAGTGGAGATTTATCTCTTACATTCTTTTGCAAACCCTAAGCTGTATTTACTTTCATTTAACCACTTCAAACCTGTTATACTATACAGCATACATCTAGGGGGGAGAAAAAACACATAGTAGCCGTTTGGAAACAAGATGTACATCACTGCTTACCTCCAAAGGAGGTATTGATAATTTTTCTTCCTGAGCACTGATCAAGGGCCAGGCCTTAGAAAAGTTTACTGGTCTTGAAAGCAGCTGTTCTAGTCCCAAGTATTTCTGCTCCTGGGAGATCATTAAATAGTAGCTCTTGCTGACTAAGTGAACCTAATTTATTTGTTAAAAAAAGTTTCTAGTATTTGTATTTTTATAAATTTAGGTTTAAATTTAAAGCCACTCAGTAGTGCCATAAAATTTAAATAAAAATTATTTTTTTGTTCCTTTGCTCTTGTTTTCTCTCCTAGTGAAGTCTGAGAGATGACATGGATCTCATATTGCCTCTTCCCCCCAAACAGTTACTGTTTCCACAGCCAAGAGAAAAGCTATAGTGGTTCAATGAAGCGAAGTAGAAACTATGTCACGCTCAGAAAGAAAGAAAAAAGAGCGCGAGAGAGAACAAAGTTCAAAATTGCCTGCACTTAAATTCTTTGGACCATTGTAGCTCTACTTGAATATGAACGGGGACTGCTTCTGCTGATCTCATGCAACAACGTTCAGATGGGTTTAGATTAGACCAAGCAAGTTTATGCATCAATAGTTTGGAATGCCCACATTTGATTTATCAATATATCCCATGTAGGGTGACCAGATGTCCCGTTTTTATAGGGACAGTCCCATTTTGGGGGACTTTTTCTTATATAGGCGCCTATTATCCCCCACTCCCTGTCCCGTTTTTTCACAGTTGCTATCTGGTCACCCTAATCCCATGGGACATTAAAGGCATATACAGACGGTATCATTTACTTACTCATCTATCTGAGAGACACACGTTTCCACCTCTTTCAGTGCAGTTTGCAATTTGCCCAACAATTTCTGATAGACATCTTGTGTTTCTAAGTCCTCTTCCTTTAACAGATATCTCAGACCATGGCCTTCCTGTTGACCTAGGGAATGTCCTGAAGGGGCTGCCATGGTGGTAATGGTATGTTGTATGTAAACCATGGGACTCAGTTTACCTGCATGTGATGCAAATAAGGTCAAGTTCACATCTTTTATCTTTCAACACAAATTACTTTTAAAAGTCAAATCTATAACGGGAAATAATTACCTGATTAAAATATTAATTTTTCATATTTTATCTTATAAATTCAATGTTGGAAGTATAAACGTGGAAAAATTAGTTGATCTGTTCTTGGTAAAGAGGAGGGCTATATAATTCTGCATGTTAATGTGCCATGTAATGTAACACAAAGGAAAGAGTTAGTACATAATTATATCAAGATTTTCTTATAAATTTATAAGCAAATCCATACTAACAATATATAGCCATTTCTTAGTGGAGTGTCCTTATGTTTAATATTGAGATAGTGTCCAGAACTGGTTAAATCTGAAAACTATAAACTAGGAGAATTGGTAAATATTCTTCGTTCAAGTTTAGGTGGGCATGCTGGCTTACCTTGCTCACTATTTTTGTTTTCTTTCTCATGTGAAGAATGCTTTCTGCTGTCTAGCTGCACACCAAAGGCACTACCAAGAGAAGTTGAGGTTTTAGGATAAGAGACTTCCATTACATTGATATGGCAGTTGGTTGGACAGAAATCGCTGCTGTGAAGTGGTGAGATCTTTGACTTGGCCTGTTTAAAGGTAGGCCATGCTCTATTTTTTAACACTCGTGAAAACTAGAAGTAAGAAAGAGAAGAAAGTTCTGATTAATAGTTTTCTGTGCATAGGTAGCCAGGTGGAAAACAAAGCTTAAAAATGCTTTAGGCATTCTACCTAACCTTTCAAATTTCCATTTTTTGGGAGGAGGTGAGGAGTTCTTTCTGATTTTAGGTTTTTATTTTTAAAACAAATTATGGGTAATTTTTGCAAATTAGAAATAGATTTATATTAAGGATTTAACCCATTTATTTTCTGTCAAATGTCTCAATATTAGTCCCATTTGAAGTCCTGTGCTTCTGAGGATGAGCTCCAGAAAGTATGAGAGGTCCCTAAAAACTACAAACATAGCAAATTTCCGGTATTTTCAAGTGTGCATTATCTAAAAACACTCTCAGATATTTGCTTTAGTTTAGTTTAGTTTCTAATAAATATAAAACTGGAAGCTAAAATTATGAATTTATCATATTGAGAATGAAGTTGCTGCAAAATTACAGTAAAACAAACTATAATCTCCATATTTTACAAAAGCAGCAAAGGGTCCTATGGCAACTTATAGACTAAAAGACGTATAGGAGCATGAACTTTCGTGGGTGATATATGCTCCTATATGTTTGTAAATCTATGAGGTGCCACAGGACTCTTTGCTGCTTTTACAGATCCAGACTAACAAAGCTACCCCTTTGATATTTTACAAACTTTGCTACACTTGGGAATTAGAAAATGTCTCAACTTTGAAAACTGAAGTACTGGTTAAATAAGGCATAGACTTCTAAGAAATAAATCTTTGAAAAATTAGATTGAAATAGTGCAGGGACATTTATTGACCCACAGGCAGTACATCTATTTTACTTCTACAGTGTTCCTCTGAATCAATGAAGATTTCTTCTTATGTTCATTCCTGTAACTATTCTTGTCCCCTTTCCCAAGTAGTGTTACTTCAGAGAATTAGATCATAATCATGATGACAAGACCATTATAAAATCTTAGATTAAGTGACCACATGATGTGAAACACAACTTGATTAGGGTTTATGTGAAAACATGTATCTCCCCATTCAATTCACAGTCTAGAATCAGGGGAGATTTTAATGGGAACATCCATCATCACCTGCAAGTAGCCGGTATTTTAATCACATCTCATCTCCAGTTAAATTATTACATAACAAGGCACATACCTTATTAAACAACGCTGATCATTAGGTTCACATGCATCAGAATATTTTTTTAAAAGTTACCTTTCAAAGTGCTTACCCAATTAAATGTCCATGTACATTTCACTGATTATCTGGCTTTAAGTATCTTTTAACTGAGTCAAGCTATATCCCCTCCCGCACCGCCCATAAAGTGGTAGCTTTATGTATTGGGATTTAAACATGTGTTTACTTGTGATGCTACTGACTCTGTGTAAGCTTGATAAACATTTCTGTACAACCAAGATTCAACTAATGAATTATACTTAAATATTTGTATCTAGGACAGGATCCTGGAGATTACACGAAGTCCAATTATGGAATTGTTTAAAACTGAAGAATGTACCAAGAATTAAGAAGGCACTAAGAATATCTACTGGTAAAATGTTCCTCCAAGCAGTACATATTTCATATTTGAATCTCCCACACATCCTGTTCCACAGAGACCAAATGCCTGGTTATGATTTAATCAGGTCATAAGTCAAGTCCAAACTTCTTTTCATACATGTATTGAGAAACATCTGGGGCCCATGGCACTGAACTCAAAGTGTATTACAAGCAAAATATTCTGAAATAACAGGAACTCCGGAAAGCCACTGGGTTTCTATTTATAGAGTTCAAACTTTCACAGTGAAACTTACAGTAAAGCTAAGGCATTCTGAGAGACTTTTGTTACTATGGCTACATTTACCTTGCCAAAAGAAGGGCATATCTATTCCTGGAATATGAACACTCCAACAGTGTTTCTAACAGTCATTGAGAGCTAAACTGTGAACCTGCATCATACTTATTGATTTTGGTGAGGGTGAGTTTGAGACTTCTGAAAGTGTGGATCACACTGGGTAGAAGCAGATATTGCAATTAAAGGTTCTGTGACGTTTTCCAACGTGGCTGTGCCATTGTACTTCAACCTAGACTCAAACTCTTGCTGTTCTTGCCGAGCACTCTTGTTCATAAAGACTATGCATCATACTCAGTTCACAGTAGAAAACAGGAAAGGTATATGAGACAGCTATTAGTTACCTAACCTCTAAAGAACATTTCTGACTGAATGGTTAAAATAAGTGATGCTCCCATCTCAAGAAACCCGAGGTTCACTTTAGATAGACATATGAAAGTCTGGATGTTTAGACTTATACTGGCCAAAATCTCTAGAGGTATGTCTACCCAGCGGCTTGGAGGGTGCTTCCTAGTTGGGTAGACAGACACACGGTGGCTCTGCTTGAGCTGATATGCTAAAACTAGCAATGTGACTACAGCAGCTTTGGTGGCAGCCTGGGCTAGCCACCCACATATGTACTCAGGGAGTTCGGCAGGATTGTATTTGGGCAGGTAGCCCAAGTCACCACCTATGTCACCGCAGCCACACTGCTATATTTAATATGCTAGCTCAAGCTGGACAAGGGCTGTTCACCTTCATTAGGGAGCACCCTCCTAGCTGCTGAGTAGTCATTCCCTAAGAAAGGGTCATTACCGTCTAGGAAGCAACTCCTCCCCCCCGACCTCTGTCCCATCCCTCCTCCAATTTTCATATGCAGGGTCTGTTAGAGTCCACATTAAACCTCTCACCTCTATTTTGAATTTTTTCTTGCAAAATCCCAGAACAGACCAGTTTGCAAATCTCACATCCTAGATCCAGATGACAGAGGGTGCAAACAATTCAAAGAAGAGGTATCAGACCTAGTTCAGACTGGCCCCACAATTCACAAATAATTGGGGCAGGGGAGGGAGGAAACTAGAGGTCAGGAGGAGAGAAATGCAGGTTCACTTGGGGGAATGGGCAAAGGTTTGATTAGTTTATGCCTAGCTTAGTTAAACTAGTCACATAGAAATAGTGTGAAATTGCAGACCAAACTCAAGTAATGTGTTCACTCATTTCCTTACAATATGCAACACACTTTTTGCCATTTTTACAAACTCGACGATTAGCTAACAGTTGTCTGATAATTTACAGTGCAGTCTGTCAGTAGTAAAAGTGGAAAGGGTTGACTCAAACTACAGTCTGCAAGTGAGGAGTTAACTTATAACAACTTTATATTTTAAATTAACATGCAATATGAGAAGAATTTAATATCACTAATATCGCTTCACTTCGGGTAAGTTCTGAAAATTCACTAGATTTATGAATGCTGTGAAACAGAGTGCTTGGTCTTTCATTGGAAATACACAGAATTTCTGGTTATCAAGCTGGTTACTATCTATATGTTCAACATGACGAAGAGAGGATAAGACCTATCCCATGAATGAAAGGCATAATGAAGGGCACATGTATATTTAAAGGACTTCCTGAGGTTTTTCTCCCTGATGCTGGGAAAACCTGACCACTCCCAGTTACTTGCACTGGGTGGCTCCAGCACAGGCCCTAGTTCCTTACTGGTTACAAGGGGCCCCTGCCCCTTGCAAGCCTTCTTAAGTCTTTCCCTGGGAGCTCACCGCACTCTCTGGTAGGGTGGGGGTGAAGATCTCTCAGATGGGTGTTCCCCTGGTGGCTCCAGGAGTCACTACAGCAGTCTTTTACCTAGAGCAGTCCTGCTCCTTCCAACCCAGCTGACTGCAGTTTCCTCCATTTTAAAGGCCTCCTGCCTATCATACATGATATCATACAGGAGGGGTGGAACTAGCCCTGCCCGCACAGCATCTCTGGCACCTTCCTCATCAGTGTGGGGTTTATACACCCCATCACAATATAATTATGCAATCACTCAGTTTAGGTACTCAGGCATCTGGGTGGGTCAAATTTAACCGCCAGTTTTGTCATTGCAACCGAAATGTTTAATAGACATTCAAATTCATTACTTTTTGTTGGTTCTTCCACAACAAGGAAATAGCAGATTTTCAAGACATTTTCTGATCCATACCTTTTTATAACTAGAGATTCTTCGGTAGATATGCTCAATTTTCTCGCTGCAAATTACACTGAATCTACTTTGGAGGTCAGTGGGGATTACTTCATTTAAAGAATTTAGGCTGTTGCAGTTTTGCACAAAATGCTCATCACTTTTAGCCAGTGCTTCAAGAATCTGTAGTAATAAAGACAATGGCAGTACATTATGAAGTCAGATGACTAAAATGAACATTACTTATCAGTCCTGATATTTACAAGCTAAAAAACCTGAAAATCAATTGTCCCTTAACATTTTAGGTATGCTGCGTAACTAGAAAGGATGATGCGTTGGGAGGAAAGGGTTCCCTTTAGTAACTCCTTGTCTTAGTAATAGAAACTCCAACTATACAAGTTACATACAGTGGTTTCATGGACTTGTTCTATCACTATTAACGTAACCATTATGTCTTTCTTGAAATACATTTTCTGCTAGCAAGCATTTATTTCAATTAAGTGTACATATTATGGGATGCTGACTTATCAGCTACAACATTTATAATAAAACTAACCTGTTGACAGATTATGTGATACTGACTCACGAAATCAGCGTACATGAGAACTCAGCTCAGTCATTTTTACTATTTGTTCAGCATAGATGAGATGAGCTGACAATTATCATATTCATTAAGGTACAAGTTTCACTGTATTCAGTCAGTAAATTAATTAAAAATTTCAGTTTCCTCAGATCTAATTAATAATGCAAAACTCTTCTTCAAAATATTTTGCTTCTTCTATTGCTATAATGAAGTTTATTTAAAAACAGTACCAAGTCTTCTGCAGAACAGCTTTGGATCACATTTTTCATTATATATTTAATAACGGTAAAACTCTGCACTACTATAGTATCTTTCATTTGAGAACCTTGACCTGCTTTACAAACTTTCACTAATTAAGCCTCATCCCTCCGCAGTGTAGGAAAGCAATGCAGAAGGGCCCCTTCCCCACCCTACTGAAACATAGCTGCCTTTGACAAGGAATATACAACTATTTAATACTGCAAAGCAACACAAGGAAGAAAATGAAGAAAAGTATTATATCCAACTGCAAGTGCAGAGGAATTTAGGTTAGTAGAATGTGAAACCACCTTCTGAAATTTCAAGTTGGGATTGAATCAAGTGCCATGACATTTTTAACCACCATAATCTCTGTTTAACATCCCACATGAAAGACAGCGGGGGGTCTGATTCTCCATTAACCTACACTTGGTGTAGTCGTTCACATCAGTGTGAAGCGGATGTAAAATGCTACCATTCTGAGTTTGTAATGTTATACACCCATTTTGCACTAGTGTAAACAATTACACAAGATGCAGTCCAGTTAAGAATCAAGCCCAGTTTTTGCAGTAGCACAGTGATTCCTGATACCATAATGAGACAGTGGTCAGTACTGACTTAGACTATATCTACACTTATGGCAGCAAGTAGAATACAGGCACTATACATGTAACTACGTGCCACAGTAAAAGGCAGACTGCATCCACATTTTTCACTGTGGATGAAGCTACAAGTGGCAGTGAAATGCTCCAGCAGCAGGGAGGCAATAGGGAAAGGCTCAACCAGGGGGAGGCAGCAGGACAATACACTGCTAAAAATATCAGCTCAGATGTGGGAGGCATTGTTTGAGCATATACAGGCGAGTCTCATCTTACACAGGGGTTCCATTCCACAGTTAGCGCGTAAAGCGAAAACCGCGTATAGTCAAAATTACATTGAGTTGAATGGTGGGTGAAATCGTCCGCACTACAGGTACAGTATTGAAATTGTTATTTTTTCCTTTTTTTGTTTGTTTTTGCCGACCGCGTAAAGCTGAAATCGCGCATGTTAAATGCGCGTAAGATGTGACAGACCTATACAGAGTCCCGTAGCGTAGGGTATATACCCTAGGGTTCAGGTGTGCAGGGTACTCTACTCGCCTAAGCCGTGCCTCACTGTCTACACTGCTATTTAGACCTGTGCTAGCTGGGCAGGCAGTGTCTGGAGTCTACATCCCATCTTAATTTAGATGTATCTTTAGAGGGAAGACAGACACAATGATTAACCAGCACCACTTTCTGCAGCACCTAGGTGTTCCTTGAAGATCTGCAACCAATTCCTGAACTGGCTTGACTCAGTATAAGGTAGTTGTACTAATTGAGGCCAAAAGTCAGTGTTCTGGAAGCTCTAGTTTTCTTACAAATACTCAGAGTATGGCAGTGGAAAAATTAATCCTAAAAACATAAGATTAGTAAAAAATATTTAAATTACAAACACTTCTACGTACTGTATTATTGGAGCAAGTAATAACATCCCTGTGGTTCAATGATTTAATCAATGAAAAGATAACCTGCAGAAATTGAATTCACTCTACAAAATTTTGGCTTTAATTTTTATTTATCCTTGCCTGTAACTGTGTAAGTGATGAAACAGGAATTAATAAAAAGCAGTATTCCTACATGAATTGATAATTAATAGTTAGATGTAAAATGCAACAGCTCTAATTAAGACATCTTTCCCATGTTATTAATAAGAAGTCCCACTTTTGCAGCTTTGGAAGTATTCAGATGAAAATTTCCAAAGTAGCCTCAAAATTTTTGTGCAACATTTTCCTAATCTATGTTTTTGCAGATGCATATTCCTGTGTCTATTCGGAGGGAGATAATATGTGAAAAAACCCAGCAAGGCACCTTGCTACTTTTGTGTATGCACAGAAACTTAAGTTCAGAAAGTTGTACCTGCAGTTTTGGAGGTCAGGTTACAGACCATTTGAAAATGGGGTCTTGAATATTTTTTGTGTGACACTTCATATCCTGACCCTTCAAAATGTTTTGAGGTTCAATTACAATAAGTCTCTGAACTTCTTTGAACTTTTTTTGATAGCAAAAAAAGGAATTCTTTGGCATTTGTTGAGTTGAGATGTTCAATTTATGACCACAACATAACTTATTTTGCTTACTGAGTACATAGTCATGATTCAAAATGTCAGCGGGACAAAGGTGACCTGCAAATATTAGACATGAAATAAAACCAGATGTCCCTCTCAATTAATAATGGATAGATGTGACTTCAGTGGAATTAAGTATAATACAAAATTAATACACATAAAAATGTAATTTTTCTACATAGGCCTCATACCTTTGCAGTCAAGCTGAAAAAGCCCTTTGGTTCAATCATTTTCTCCACCACATGGCATTTTATTCCAGCCGTACTGTCATACTCATAAACCACTCCATATTCCAGATGAACATTATCAACAGTGAGACTCACATGATCCTTCCTCCCATCAATTATTGCCATTGTGTTAAACTTGTCAATTACTTCTACAGCAAAGAAAATTAATAGTTAGTTTTGTTTTGGCTGCTTCAGACCTAAATCAAAATAAAAGAACAATCACTGCAGACCCTATGGAAGTAGCGATGTTTTGATAATTTCTATTGAAATGAACATCAAGAAATCCCAAGGTGACTAGGTGACAAACTCAGAAAAACTCAGGTCTGGGGCTGACTAAAACTCGGGTTAGATGAAGTGTGAGAAAGCCTGCTGAAATATCCTATGACAAAACCTATTGGTTGTAAAGGGAGACATTCTGCTTTTCTTACAATATGGAGATGTAGCAACAAATAGGAATGGAAAGTTGGAAAACCCTTGTTTAAACTGTAAAATATCAGGGTTGGAAGGTCATCTAGTCCAACCCCCTGCTCAAAGCAGGACCAATCCCCAGACAGATTTTTGTCCCAGATCTCTAAGTAGCCCCCTCAAGGATTGACCTCACAAGCCTGGGTTTAGCAGGCCAATGCTCAAACCACTGAGCTATCCCTCCCCCTACTGAATGCTTGCTCCAGAGACACACATACAACTCTGAGGGCAGCATTTGCCCAGAGAAATTAATTGAAAGTCAGCTATTAAGCATTTTCTCAATCATCCTTGTAGACTCATAACTTTTGCCTGAAAAGTATCCTCATTATTTGTGATCCAATAGAGCTTTGAATTAATTTTAATTCCCCTTAAATTATTTTATTTGTGAATTTTATCCAGATAATTTATAGGATAAGATGTCCTATGAATGCAAATGAATGAGATTTTAATGAAAGTGCGATACTACAAAATTTCTCATGGATCCAAGAAACTGTTAAGCTAATTCACACATTATTATAGGGTGATGGTATTTTTAATTCTCCTCTGTGTCAGATATGCAATTGCATATAAATCCTTATGTAAATTAAAACCTGTAGTCTGCTTTCAGTTTCCCTAGTGGGAAGAAGAAATTTCTATGTTCCTTGCTAACAGAAAGAAATTCTAAAGGATGACATGCAAAAAATAAAGATCACACCTTCCACTTTGCAGTCAAAGGCATCTCCTCCCTCATCTCCAGGGGGTTTGGAGTTCGCTTTCTGAAGGTCTTCCTGTGCACTCTCTATACTGTTATATACCCACTGTATGGAATCTTGCTATAAAAGAAAAAAAATTGCATGTATCATCAAAGCTGTCTCATTTCACTGCTTTCAAACAGGAAATAGTTATTTCAATTCCTTACCTGAACAGGATGTTTATCAATTACTATCTGCACTTCATTTTGAAAACAAACAATAACATTGGAAATGACAGAGGAGTGAGATTGATTTTATCTAAAACCAGCTGTAGAGAAACATACTGTACCAATAACAGAGATTTCATCAGTTCATTTGTTTAAACAGTGTATGCAGTATTGCTACACTTTGTTTTGTGTGTCAATAAAAATGTCCTTAATGCATACCTAAAACAAGTTGTTTTAATACACTGAAAACCTTATTATGACAGGAAGCTATAAAAACAACAGAACCAACTTCTATCTCACTAAACCTGCTGGACACCTACTGGAGCTTGCATTGATTGTTGAACACCAGCCATGGGGGCATAACACATTCACTTTGCCTCTAAACCACTCCCACTTTGCATTATGTGCACCTGGAGAACTCCACTGGTGGTGTCTGTAGGAATCCTTATGCCTATACTCAGGGCTGGCTCCAGGCACCAGCTTAACAAGCAGGTGCTTGGGGCGGCCAAGGGAGAGGGGCGGCATCTGCGGCAATTCGGGGGCGGCAGGTCCCTCACTCCCTCTAGGAGCGAAGGACCTGCCGCTGAACTGCCGCCGCCGATCGCGGCTTTTTTTTTTTGCTTGGGGCGGCAGAAATGCTGGAGCCGGCCCTGCCTATACTCAGTATAGAATTGCCTCTATTCCATGCAGATCAGACGTTTTTTTCCTCAGAAGTGTTGCACAAAACTTGATCTTACTTGTATCCAGCAGTGGGGGATGCATAATCAGATATTTTGAGCTCTAATTAATATTTCAATGTATTTAATAATGTATTATGCTAATCAAATACTGTATGGAGTTGGCAGAACACCCTTCTCATCTCCATAGTTGACATGCAATGTACCTATCAATCTCTCACCCTCCAATTACTATAGCAGAATAAATGACAAAAATAATCCTGCATTGTGACTGAACTCAAATCACAGCCTGTAAAGAGGAAAGAGTGGGATGAAATGAAAGTTAAGCAAGGATGCCAAGAGTCAAACTTGAGTATGTCTTCTATACAAACTGTTAAAGCAGGTTGTGCTTGGTTAAGGTAAAATACACATTCATTACCTTTACAATCATCTGCAAAGTAATGGTTAGTATAATATCCTGAAGGATTAAGATATATTTTCTCTCTAGATAAACCCACATTTGAATCTTTTTTACCTTTTACTCTGAACTATTTATATGTCATTAAGGATGCTTAAGATTTTATGAAACTTTTATTGATTTTCATAAAGAAGCAATAAAAAATACAAAAAAGGTAAACAACATACAGCTCTTTATGTTACCAAATACTGCACATTTCACAGGATAGCAAATACAATTATTCAATTACACAACTTTACAACTTGTCAAAGCTGCAAGACCAAACTGTACAAAATCATTCAATATTACACAGACATAGCATTTAAGGTGGGGGAAAAAAAAAGATAGGAGGAGGAGGAGACTGGAGGAAAGGGACAGGAAGAGGGAGGGGGAAAGGGGAAATGTCAGCATTTAACATTTTGTATTTTAACTTTTGGACAAAATCTTCTCAAGGAACTGTCTTGATTGCTTGCAGTTTGTTGTGCACAAGCAGGCCAGAGGAAATCATTTTGAATCCATTCTACTTCCTAGGTTGATCCAGATGTTGCTGATTTGACTACAGAGTACTTTACAAGCCTCCTCTGCTCAGACACATGGGAAGCACTCAGCCAGTACCTATACCCATATCTAAGTTGAGATTTAAGTACCCATTGTTGGTTCATAGGGTGCCTTATTCTGGCTAACACAGAACAGGTTCCTTATTATTCCTAACCTGACATTAGACAGCCTATCACAAGGAGTAACATTATCTGAAATGTATTTCTATTTATTTATGCTGAAAGTGCAGGATCACAAAAGTTAACATAAAAGACTATTCCACAATATACTATTCTTAACAGGGTTTTCCAAGAGCGCTATATAATGCATGTAAGCTAAAGCTCATGCACAAACTCTACAGGATCTTCTGTGAAGTCACGTTTAGTGTCACCAACAAAGAAACTAATAGGTCTTGTATCATGATCAGTGGAACTGCAGTCAGAGGACCATATACCTTGGAGGGGCTGTTATTGAGGGCACACCAGGAAGACAGGGAATGGGTGGAGTTAGGCAGGAAGCCACTCAGCCACATGGACAGAGCAGTGCAGAGGGTTTACTAAAGTTCCACTTGTTCAGCTTAACCTGCATTCTGTTTCACTTTTTGTGAATGAAACAGGGTGGCAGCATTTGAGCTGTGAGTTCTCTGCAGTGCAGCAGGTGGCAGCATGAGCCATGGAACTCAGTTTGAAGCCCCCAAGAGCCCTGGATTTTGCATATCCAATTCTAGACTAGAGATGGACCCAGTGGAAGGAGGAGTTTGAGCTGGACACAGACCTGGCCATTCAAGAGGATGACAACAGCAGGAAAGTAAAACTGTTATTTTACCTTATTAGGGAACAAGGCAGAGATATCTGCACCCCTCAGAAGCACATCACTGCCTCAAGCCTCACAGCAGCCCTAGGAGCCCTGGGAAACTATTCCTCCCTAAAGCAGAACAAAACTGTGACAAAACACAGATTTTTCACTAGAGACCAAGCCAAAGGAGAATGGCTATAGGGTGACCAGATGTCACTATTTTATAGGGACAGTCCCAATTTTAGGGGCTTTGTCTTATATAGGTGCCCATTACCCCCCCCCATCTCCCGTCCCGATTTTTTACACTTGCTAGCTGGTCACCCTAAATGGCTAGATCCCTATATTTCTGCCTTATACACAGTGGCTACTACGTGCAATTTTGAAGACTTGACAGACTTCCTGATTTGGGAAAGGACAGTCTGTGGCACTTGGGATCACCTCCTGAAAGAGTGGCTGCTCTGGAAAGGCACTCTCACATTAGACAGATGGGGAGCAGAAGCCTCAAGTGAAAGGATGAGAGCCCTAGGAGGCACAACAACTCCACAAGTATATGCAGTCAAGAGCACAGGAGAGCAAGTAGCCAGGGTTCCATACACATAGTGAGGGGCACTAGCTGTGGAAGACAGCATGGGCGGCTCAATGAGAAGTGCCACACACTAGGACAACATTGCAAGGAATGTGGCAAGTTGAATCATTTTACCAATGTGTACAAGAGCAGAGAACGGTCCCAGAAAAATCCAATCAGATGTGTACAAGAGGGAGATGGCACATCAGACAGTGTTGATAACATCATTATTCTCTCCTTGAGTCTGAGCGCATATTATGTTCAAGCTGTTGGGACAAGATAGCAACAAGGGACAATGCCAACCTCTATGAATGCAAGAGTGTTAATAGGGAAACACCCTATGCAATTTCAGCTGGATAGCGGGGTCTCCTGCAATATGATCAAACATACCTTTCACAGAGAGCAGACACAATCTAATAACGTACAATGTGAGATTAATGCTGTCCATAGGAAAATGTGACCTCATAATCACTAATCCAAAAAATAACAGATGATACCAGCAGAAGTTTGTGGTGGTGGAGGATGATAAACACCATCGACCCCTCTTGGGGAATACAGCCATACAAGCCACAGGTCAGATAAGGTGCAGCATCAGAATTTTATAGCTAGAGTGCAAGAAGCAAAAAGGGAAATCCCATGGACAATGGAGACCATTTTAAAAGAATGTAGGGATGTTTTTAAAGGCAATGGGTGCCTCAAAGGAAAGCTTCAACAGGAAATGGACCCAACAGTGGAACCTTTGAGTTTACCATGAAGGAAAATTCCAGTGGCACTATGTAATCCAATACTCAAGAAGCATGAAAGTCTGCAGCGCAGGCATATCATAGCACCAGTAGAGGCCAGTATAGGCTGGGTAAGAAGCATGGCAATGGTAAAGAAGCCATCAGTAAAATTACATATCTGCATAGACCTAAAGCCACTGAACAAGGCATTGTCCCTTTATCCACTTCCCACAATTGATGACCTCTTGGTAGAGCTTTCCAAAGCCAGAATTTTTGTAGTCTCTAATGTGATGGATGAGTTTTGACATATAAGGCTGGATACAAGTCCAGTATGCTGACAACCTTTGCAATATCATTTTGTCCCTGTAGATGGCTGTGCAAACCGATGGGCATGATGCCAGCCCCAGAGATGTTCCAGAGAAGACTCACCCAAACACTGGAAAGGTTGTCTGGGGTGAAAATAATTGCAGATGATCAGGGCCAGCTCCAGGCACCAGCTTGGCAAGCAGGTGCTTGGGGCGGCTGCTCGGGAGAGGGGCGGCACGTCCAGCTATTCGGCGGCAATTCGGTGGACGGTCCCTCACTCCCACTCGGAGCAAGGGGCCTTCCCCGGGGGGGGGGGGGGGGGGGGTGGGGGGGTTTTTTTTTTTTTTTTTTTTTTTGGCTGCTTGGGGCGGCCAAAACCCTGGAGCCGGCCCTGCAGATGATATCCTCATTATAGGTGAAGGGAGCGATGATACAGAAGCTGAACAAGAGTATGACAGAAAACTGCAAGTTTCTACAGCAATGCAGAGACAAGAACATAAAACTGAACCTAGAAAAAGTGTGACTCAAACAGCATGAGAATATACATATACATCTACTCATAGCAGAGGGACCAAACGCAGATCTCAACAAGATCAAGGCAGTCAGAGACATGGTAGCGCCAGTGGATGTGAAAAGGTTCCACAGCAAAGATACATTTTCTGTCCATGTTCTGTCTACACCTGACTACAGTACTGAAACCCATCCATTAGCTCACAAGGCAGGATGTTGAGAGGGACTGGGAAGGTCCCCAACAGCAAGCATTTGACACAGTAAAACAAATGATAATGGATGCCCCTGTGCTGAAGTACTACTAGCCAGGAAAGTCACTAACATTGCAGTGTGATGCATCAGAAACCAGAAAGTTCACTAAAGTTAACACAAAAGACTATTCCAAAATATATTATTCTTACCCAGGTTTTCCAAGAGTGCTATATAAAAGGACTGCCAGATCATCTAGTCTGACCTCCTGTATATCACAGGCCACCAGCACCACTCAGCACCCAAACAATAAACCCAACAACCAAAATTAAACCAAAGTATTACAGCCCTCAGACTGTAGAGATTTGTGTTATCTCTGGAAATTTCAGCATGCTGCTCTGAGCCAGATGAGTTTCCCTTTAAACACCAGAAAATGCTGTATGTTGGAAGAAGAATATATATTTTGTGATATACCAAACAACTTTTAATGGAATTCACATCCAGTTGCAGTAATTGTTCACCTAATGATAGGCATGCAAGCAGTCAATTTTTAAGTTCTCCTTTTCTGGATGCCCACCCATCTCCATAGCAAATCCACATCTGTGAAACAGTCAGTCCACCTCAGGTATAAAGTATTTTTTATCCCTTTAATTTAGCCAGTTTAGGGCAAAAGAATCCATGCTACTGTATCTGGGAGTAAAAATAACCCTTTGACCAGAATTCAGAGATAACTGCCTCAATTCTGTACTGGAGCACAAAGAAATCCAAAGAAACATTTTCATGAAGCAGTATTTGCATAATGCAGTTGAAACAACCCCCTATTTCTGCTGCTTATCTCATATCTGTTCACTAGGTCTGAAAGGAGGATTTCACATTTAGTTTTAATTGGACTTCAACGCTCACTGAAAGACATTGTGAAGTTAATTAACTGGTTCACAGTTTATGAAGAATTTCCAAGAACGTGGAAAGATTACATTACTGAATCCAGCTGTTTTGTTTTATCATGACAATTACTGTGGAAATTCAATTTTCTTTCTAAACTAAAAGCAATAATAATTTATTTGCTCATATTAAAAAAAGGACACTCAGAATCCTTGAAATAATATTTATTTTCTAACACTGCACTGTAATGGAAGTGGAGAGAGACTTTTACAGACAGGATATATTCACTCTGCTCTGTATGTGCTAAGTGTTAATAAAAGTCAGGAAAAAGATCAACTGTTTGTGTTATGTTCTCATGAGCACACAGCTAGCGGTATAAACTCCACTCCATCCAGATGAGAATATATTTCATGGTTTTTTCTGCACAGAGCTATAATACTGCTGGAAATAATCCTTTAAAAAGATAACATGAGAAAACTTTAGTTAAAAGCTTAGTTTTTTGAAGCAGAACTTAAAGAGACCTTGAGTATCAGCAATAAATATTAAGTAATCATCAGTTTTTATATGTTAATTAGCCACCTCCCCCCCCCCACAACTGGATGTAAAGAACAAAAATAAACAATGGATAGAGCAATGAGGGCATAAGCAGTAAACTTGTCTACCTGCATTGGACGCCTGTATTTCCTGCAGGCTGTGACGTGGGCAATAACACTTGCATGAGTCTCTTTGCTGACATTAATTCCATTCACTTTAATTATGCACTGTCCAGGGTGGAGACCTGCTGCAGCTGCCACAGTTCCTTTAAAAACAATTGTGAAAGTTGCCAAATTCCATGTTAAAAGATCCCCTTTTAAACATACAGTCCAAGTGCCTCAATCTGCATAAGTATCTGCTACTATTGATTCTTGCATGACTGTTGCTAGTACAATAGAGTTCAGTGAGACTCTGCAAAGATTCAGGGGTCCCTGCTAGGGATCCCCAGTGTGGGGACCATATCATAATCCTGTAGAACAATTTACTGAAAAACTATTCAAAGAGAGCTACTACAAACCTCAGCTATATCAATTTAATTGTTATTGTCTTAGAATAAATTTCACCTGATAAAATAGTGCAGAACAAGATATCCTCTGTTGGTTTTGTTGTGTCTGATTGCAAAGTTCATGTAATACTTTATAGCTTATAAAAATAATATGATGTAATGCACTATTTCACGAAAAATAACATATTGCCAACAGCCCAGTACTGATGTATAACCCAACAATAACAAACCAGTGTGCATGTGCAATTAAGGAAATGTTATTTCAGTAAGGAAACAGATTTTAATTTTAAGCTTCTAGTGAGTGATTACTAAATTACTGTAAGAATTATTAAAAAAAAAACTTAATATTCCTCCTTTCATAGTTAAATTCTATTGTGAAACAAATTCTGAAAAATTGATAGACACTACCAACTAAGACCCATGGTCAGTTTGTTGCTAAATTTCCCCAGGCACCTAGCTGAAAATGCTGGGGAAGATTTGACTTTTGTAGTAAAACGGTAAACAAATCTGTAATTTAAAAATAACTATAACTATTCAGAGTCCTAAGCCTTTGCTCTTTGATTATAGCAAATGTCTCTATTGATAAATAAAAATCAGAAGCTTTCTGACAACTCTCCCTATAATTCAAAGCAAGTATTAAAGCAGATCAGGAGTTTCTTGTCAAACAGTATGTGAAAAATCCAAGTCCAAGGACATTTCTGTGTATTCAATTCTATTTTAATCTCTTTACCATTTCATCTGTAATGAAAAATACCTAACTAAAAGCTAAAAAAAAAAAAAAAAAAAAAAAAAAGTCAATGGTTATTGGAATAGGAAATTTTATTAACTTTAATCATTGTGAGCAAAAATGAAGAATACTCTTTGAATACAATAAAATATACATTCCAGTGATTTGTTTCTATAGTAGAGTGATAACTTTGAAAAAGTCCTGTGTACAGCAAAGGTAGTGTCAGTGTAAAATATCTTGCCAGCATGCCTCAAACCTATTCTGGAGGGACTGGCTTTTGGAGTTTGAAGTTAGTTTGGTCTCCAGGCATATTCCATTCCTTTATCCTCTGTTGAGATTGCCAACAAAAGATGCCAATGAAGAATAAACATGTTGCCCCCGGGCTGATACAAAATATTTGGGACCCTCCTGCACAGTTGAGGGGCTGGCAAATAGAAAAATCATATATTGACTTGTAAACTGTCTGAATTTGATAAGGAATGCATTGAAAAAATAAATTTGGAATCCCATACTATGATTTTTAACAATCACTTTTTACAGACTATAGCTGCATTTTAAATTAAGTTACTAGAGTAAAGTGTCTTGAAATCACACCACAATCAGCTAATCTGGTTCCAACAAATATCTGGATTTAGAGACACAGCTTAAACAGATCCCATTAAATAATATCCTTCAAGACTGCAGAAATGTTATTCAGACTCCAGAAAACCATGGTCCCAGTTCAGGAAAGCATTTAAGCATATGCTTAAGTGCATCCATGTTCAGCAATTCACTTAAGCATGTGCTTATGTGCCATCAAGATCAATGGGACTAAAATATTCGCTTAAATGCTTTGATGAACAAGGATGGACAGCTGAACTGAGACCCAGGTGTGGAAGTAATTAACAGACGGGTGTGTATTGGACTCTATGCTCTTGAAGACCTGGTTTCTGGCACCACATCTCAGGTCAAAATTGACTGGTTCTTTCAACTGGTTGCTTTGCCAAACTTAATCATACTGCTTGGTTTAAGGCTTCTCAGTTACAGGGGGGTAAATTGCCACAACATAGGCTAAAATATGGTTTTAATGAGCTCTGCATTTCACAATACACAACAGATTGTTTACTGTAGTCAGCGATAGGGAATTAGAGAATTCTGCTCCTCATCAGTGTCAGAACAGCAATCCAGAGTACATTGGGTTAAAGAGTTGGCAAATGTTTGGCAATCATGTCACAGAAAGGACGTAAAACACTATTTAGAGCAAACATCTGTAGTTAGTAAAATGGTCTAAGTCACTGGAGCCCAGAGCTGTATGAAAGGATTTGTCCAGACTGCACATATGTTCTCAAAAGGGTTTTAAGATGAGTCAGACCATAAATGTGTAATTTAATAACTAAGTAGCCTTCAGAACGTTGCTTCCAAATGCCATTTGCTGGATCAATTACTTTTGCATTTAATAATTTTTCCTGAATCTGTAAAGGATATTTGACCTTAAAACCTATATAAGTGTTAGTGAAAGAACTACGGTAATTTAAATATTTGTAAAAACCAACAAAAGACCGTCTAAATTTTAGCCAAATTAGCATATTCATAAGACAGTATTTTGGATGACTACTTATTTACCATATGTTATGCTTGTACCAAAATAACATTCTGCAGATTTTTCAAGGGTAAAAACAATTAAAAATCTTATTAAGAAGTTTGAGTTAATGGTGTTTGTCTCAACAGGAAAGAATATGTAAACTGAAATTATAATTGTAAGTGTGATCGACCTCAACCAAGCCTAATAAGATGTTAGGCAGATGATTACCATGATCCTATTCTGATCCTGTTTCTTACCTCTTCCAACAGCATGGACAACCGATGGACCAAAGCCCCGGATTTGGAATCCAAGCCCATCTGCAGAGTCAGGGATCTTCACTGTCCTAATACCAACAGAGACTCAAGATCAAATATCAGATGTTGACATTTTGTTCTTTAAAGTAAAGATTGGTCACAGTGGGAAAAGTAACAGGTAGTAAAAATCTGCTTAAACTCCTCCCTGCTATGTCTCATAATTTTTAAAAATAAAAAGAGCTAAAGGAAAAGGAGAGCTGGTTTGGCCAAAGCTATTTATTCATTTATATTCTGCCCTATAGTGCTCATCACCTACTACTTGAGCATTTCACATATAGAATGATTTTACCTTCACAATACCCATGAAAGCAGGAGAATATTATTCCATTTTACAAAGAGAACTCAGTAAAATAGAGATTAAGGCCTATATTTTCAAAAGTGTCTATTGATTTGGGGTTCATCTATTTTTGACCCCATATGAAACACTTTGAAGGGGCCTGGTTTTCAGACATTGCTGTTTTACATTCTTGCTATATTTACCTCATGATGCTATCAAAAAATGAAAAATGTGTCAGTAAGGACTACAGGTTAAACTTTTTCATTTGACGTTCCTATAAACAATATTTGAAAAATTCAGAAAAATTGAAAACTTTTCTCCCAAAATTCCAGTTTTAAGAAAAGGCCAAATTTGAATGAAAATTTCATTCTGAATTTCATTCATTATGAATAACAGAGAAAGCCACAGAGAAATACAAATAGGAGCAAAAAAGATAGAGGACTGATCATGATGCTCTTATTCAGTAAGGACATCAAAACTTGGCCCAGAGATAATAGCATGATGAGACTGTAAGACTAAATAGTTGAACTGTTATGAGAAAGGTAATTCCATTTAATGGAAAATTTCAATATTTCAAATTGGTTTTGTTCCAATTTGGAACGAAAACCAATAATTTCAAAATTCTGGGCAGAGCCACAGACCCTGGAAGCCCTGGACTCCCCAGCTCACAGGTAGCCCACCTGGTGGACTGCCCCAGAACCACAGACATTGGTAGCCCTGAGATCCTCAACTCCTGAATAGTGTAACTGCTGGGCTCCTAAGGAGTGTGGACTCTAGATGCTTTGGGAGCCCAGGCTGCTGAGGAGCTGAGAACCTGGAATCCAGAGCTCCCAAGTTCTCAGCTCCCCATCAGTCCATTAGACAGGCTACTGAGGAGCTGGGAAACCTGGCAGGGTTCTGTTGGAACTTTGTCAGAATAGAACTGTTTCCAGAGAACATTTCAATTTTGGTGAATTAGCGAATTCCAGTGAAAAAATATACTCTCCTTAGGCTGCAGAGCCCAAGCTCCAGCCCAACTAGTGAGAGCTCCACAAGACCAAATCAGTCGACCTGGGCTGGGAGGTTTGCTGCTGTGGGCTGTGTAGATGTACCCTTAGGCACTATGGTAATAAACAATCATAATAATTTTGAGAATTGGAAAGAGATAAATGTAATTTTAAAATACGTTCACACAATATGGTAAAAAAAAAAATCTTCCTTCAAATATAGTGTGAAGTATAAATCAGCTTCATTATTTCACTTCTTGTTTATAGCAGGGGAAGCTGAAAATATGGTTGGCACTTGGAGACAATTATAGGCAGAGCCTGAATACAAAACCTTTTGCAGCCCAGGCATCTCTCTAAAAACTGATGTATTTTACAAACAGATTTTTAAAGACTGTTGGATATTAACTAAAGCTGGGGAAAACTCAGTGGTCTCACTTTGTAAAATTTCCACACAAAATGCATTATATAAGCATCTCTCCCTACTTCATACACACACTCTGGGGGAAACTATGTAAGACCTGAGTCTTGTAGAACTCATTAGTTTAAATTGGCTTTGTGTTGTGGACAAAAGCTGAGACATATTCATTTTCACTTAGGACTTCTATCAAGATTTGAACTGAGGTCTACACAGGTAAAGGCCAAAGCACTGACCCAGTGCACCAACTAGCCTGCAAATATTAAGTTTTTCTAATTTTACCAATATGGGACTCAATCCTGAAGCTTCTGTTCACAAGGAGTTCCACTGACTTCAACTGGGGTTTTTCCTGAATAAGGAATTCAGGATCAAGCCTCTCCCTAGCAGTACTGTTTTAGCAGAGATTGGTAAATTTTGCAATTAACCATCCCACAACTCATTCTTGAGAACATTCATAACACATGCTAAGACAAACAGTAATCAATCCTATAGTCTCCCCTCACTAGTCACTGGATAAAGTTGTCTTAGATATAGGATACCCAACCTTGAATGCAGGAAACTGCTTTCAGACATGAACCCTTAAATATTGGACAGAAGCCTGATGAAAACTTAATAAAAAAGCTGTTTATTATATTTGCTGTATATAGTATATTGCACTTTAATTTTGGTTCTTAATAGAGAGGCCTTTACCTTGCAGACTGTGCCAGAAAAGGGAAGCAATAAATACATTTTTTAAAACAAGAAACAAAAGGGAAGAAACCAAAGGTTAGCACAAACACATAAATACATATATACATTATTACAAAGATGTAGAGGTACATTGTGCCTTCAGACACAGCCCCAAACAAAAGGTAATATGTAAAATGTATCATCCCAAGAGTACATCCAGAGAGCCACTCCTCTATGGCACAATTCTTCCCTTGCTTTCCCCCTTATTTTGTGTGGGTTTTTATTAGCGGGACATCCCAGTGCCAAGATGCCCCTCCCTGCTCACCTGCTCTGGGGTGTGGATGGGAGGACAATTCTCTTTTCTTCCAGTGCAGATCCACACTACAGTTAGCCTGTGCATCTGTGTAAGGGACGGGGAGGGGAATTATGATTCCCCCTATTCTGTGCAGCCATGTAGTCCAAGTCACAATGTAGTCCTTAGTGTAATTTTGGGCCTGATTCACCGCTCTCTTAGGCTAGTGTAAAGCAGGAGTAACGCCATTAAATTTACTGGACCTATGTGGTGTAAGTAAGGGTTAAATCAGACCTTTCATTCCTCTGTTTCTATTGAATACGTGCATTTACGGCTTAGACACAGATGAAAAGAACTGAAGAAGTTGCACAGTAAACAGGCACTCCTTACTTCTTTTACATAAAGGGGACGCCAGTCACGTAAGAATTGTCAAAAACATTGTATTGTGAGGAGTCCAACTGTTAATAAAGATCTTGAGAGGGTTACTTTTTAATCCTATGTACTTTATTTGTAGAACCAGAATAGAAATGCAAAACACCCATTAGATCATTGAGTCTAACCCAGGCGAGGTCAGGACATAGTCCCTAGACAGAGGAAGTTTATTAAAAACAGAATGTCAGCTAAGTGGGTCAAAATTCCCTATATATTCAGAGAAACTTCATTTATACTTGTGGTTTCTACGTGTATTTAAAATGACAGACTTGAACGTCAAAAGTGACTGATGTTTTCCCTTTGCTGTTGTTGGCAGATAAATGTAATGCAGATAAATGTAATACAGATAAACTGAAAGCAGATTGATTAGATGTGAGGCCTGGCATGTTGATATTGTATTAATCATTTTATTATTCAAGAACAATACTTTTGCTTGCTCAGATAAATGTATATGGGCCATTTAAGTAATTTAAATAACCTCTCCACAATAGTACACCTTATCCCAATAATGCAATAACATTAACTCAATGCTGTCTTTCCTGTTTACTACCTAGACATTTGCCTTCTAGAATTCACTTCAGTTATCATTTTTAAAATTCCCAAAACAGGAAGCACAACTTACTCCCTTGGTTTTGTGCTCACAAGTACCCTGAGGGGCCTTCTGCTGTTTAAGCATGCTTTCAGGAAGCAATCCACTTCGTTGAAGGGTCTCAGAAAAACTAGGTCACCATTAATGGCAAATATCTTCTTCCCAACTTCCAGGCCTGCCATCTAGGTGAGGGGGGAGGAAAAAAACAACACTTGAGCATTTTGCTTTGTTTTGTTCTTGTTAGGTTTGGTTTTTATAACCAACATTGTATTGATTTTGTCTGCCTATAGACACGCCCATTAGGAGTCAGTGATATAGACATTCTTTTTAGTCTCCTCCACACAGCATCCACAAAACAGCCCTAAACTATACCTGGAAAAATGTGGATTGTAAACTCCAAGTTTCAAAAGCACCTAGCATAAAGGGCCCTGATCTTGACTGGGCCCTTTGGATACTCTGCAGTACAAATCAATAGTCTTAATTATTAATATAATGTAGATAATGTGACCGCTCTTATTGGGCCAACTTTTATTATTGCCACATTAACTAACTTCCCTACCTGTTGTTCTCTAAAAAAACTGAAACTTACTTTCAAATATAGAGGCTTGCTGAATATTTTAAGAAGTATGTGAATATTTCATAAGTTACAAAAACAAACCATAAACTCAAAAGTTTTGAGTTTCACACCTTTGAGTGAGGTATACAACATGTCAGGTCAAAGATCAAACTATTGGCCAACTAGGGAAGAAACTACCTCCAGCTAGAATGTTGCAGGATGTACAGAGCTGCTCAAGGCATCCTCCAAGTCTTATTGCCACTTGAGAACAGGGCAGTACTAGACAGTTGACAACACAAAATGGAATTACGGAAAGATAACAGAGCTGGACTCAGGCTGGATATAACTCTATGGTTGCACCATACCACTTATTTGTTGTGTCTCCTTTAGGGCTGTCGATTAATCCCAGTTAACTCAAGCGATTAACTAAAAACAATTAACTGCTATTAAAAAAATTAATCGTGATTAATCGCACTGTTAAACAATAGAATACCAATTGAAATGTATTAAATATTTTTGGATGTTTTTCTACATTTTCAAATATATTGATTTCTATTACAACACAGAATACAAAGTGTACAGTGCTCACTTTATATTATTATTTTTATTACAAATATTTGCACTGTAAAAATGATAAACAAAAGAAATAGCATTTTTCAGTTCATCTCATAAAAGTATTATAGTGCAATCTCTTTATCGTGAAAGTGTAAGGTCCAAACATAGATTTTTTTTGTTACATAACTGCACTCAAAAACAAAACAATGTAAAACTCAAGAGCCTACAAGTCCACTCATTCCTACTTCTTGTTCAGCCAATTGCTAAGACAAACAAGTTTGTTTACATTTACGGGAGATACTGCTGACTGCTTCTTATTTACCATGTCACCTGAAAGTGAGAACAGGCATTCACATGGCACTTTTGTAGCCAGCGTTGCAAGGTATTTACGTGCCAGATATGCTAAACATTCATATTCCCCTTCATGCTTTGGCCGCCATTCCAGAGGACATGCTTCCATGCTGATGATGCACATTAAAAAAAAATGTGTTAATTAAATTTGTGACTGAACTCCTTGGGGGAGAACTGTATGTCTCCTGTTCTATTTTACCCACATTCTGCCATGTATTTCATGTTATAGCAGTCTCGCATGATTACCCAGCACATGTTGGTTTTAAGAACACTTTCACAGCAGATTTGACAAAACACAAAGAAGGTACCAATGTGAGATTTCTAAGGGTAGATACAGCACTCGACGCAAGGTTTAAGAATCTGAAGTGCCATGCAAAATCTGAAAGGGACTAGGTGTGGAGAATGCTTTCAGATGTCTAAAAAAAGCAACACTCTGATGCGGAAATTACAGAACCCGAACGATCAAAAAAGAAAATCAACCTTCTGCTGGTGGCATCTGACTCAGATCATGAAAATGAACATGCATCGATCCGCTCTGCTTTGGTGCATTATCGAGCAGACCCCATCGTCAGCATTGTCTTCTGGAAGGGTGATTGAAGCATGAAGGGACATATGAATTTTAGCGCATCTGGGACATAAATATCTTGCGATGCCGGCTACAATAGTGCTATGCGAAAGCCTGTTCTCTCTTGCAGGTGACATTGTAAACAAGACATGGGCAGCATTATCTCCTGCAAATTGTAACCAAATTTGTTTGTCTGAGCAATTGACTGAAGTAGGACTTGGGTTCTAAAGTTTTACATTGTTTTATTTTTGAATGCAGTTTTTTTGTACATAATTCTACATTTGTAAGTTCAACTTTCACTATAAAGAGATTGTACTACAGTACTTGTATTAGGTTGTAATCAAAAATAATTATAAAATGAGCACTATACACTTTGTATTCTGTGTTCTAATTGAAATCAATATATTTGAAAATGTAGAAAACATCCAAAAATATTTAAATAACGGGTTTTCTTTTATTAACAGTGCGATTAATTGTGCGATTAAAAAAATTTATTGCACAATTAATCACAATTAATTTTTTTAATCGCTTGACAGCCTTAGTCTCCTTTTATCCTAATCCCTATCCCACAGTGAGATGTAAAGGCCTTTACCAGTTCTAAAAATCTCCTTTGTAAAATAAAATCTCAGATAGAATATTTTACTGTCACACTTCTCTGTATAAGTACAGTTAGTCCCGTTCATGTCAATGCGAACTCTGTATATACCCCACAGAGGTCTATCTGAAGCAATGCTAATGTAAACACAAGCCCTCTAACTTACTCATTCAACACCTCAAACTCTATATTTTACATTATTACAAATAAAAATCATAAAAGCCTTGACACACCACATTTATGGGAAATAAATCAAATCAATGTCTGCGGAGTAGAACACGTTTTATTTTCATTCATTACATTTTCTTCTCAACAGTGCTTCTGCCACTCATGAATAATGATGCCACTGTAGTCTATGTAGCACATGAAAATAAATATATTTATAATTTATGTATTGTATCTCTAAGTTCATATATTGGAAATCATAAGTAAGAATAAAATGATAGTAATAGCAACAGTCATAAACAAAAATGATAAAAACAATTAAAAACAACACTTTTTTTCTTGAAAAAACAGCCAAATTAAAACACTACATTATCTTAAATTTTCAAAATTGTATATCAAAATACAGCTGTAAGTGTACATTTGTAAACATTACCATAAAATAGAGACAAATGTCAGACTATATATTAGTATATGTTACCTCAGCATTTGACCCCTTCTCCACTAATTTAATAATTGGTAATTTGTTTTTGTCTTCTAAACCAAAACCATAGCTGCCTTCATTAGACTTAATCTGAAAAATAAAAATAAAATTACACAATTTGCCTTTCCATTAAACAATAATGCATGGTGTTTATTTAACATTATTGAATCCTATTTATTGCTTGCCAATTATCATTCAATTTGTTTACTTACCAATAGTGACTTGGCTATGACATTTTCCACTACTTTTAAATCATGTTTCATAAGCCTGTGCTTCATATTTGATCCTTCCATTTCTTCATCCGCAAAAAAGCGAAAAAGAAGTGGCTCATCTTTAAATTCACTTTTTTCTAAGACTTTATGATACAAAATACAAAGATTAATCCTTTTATTATGAATTCCCGAATATATGTTTTTAAAACAATTAAATATTGGTAAAGTGCTTACATAGATTAAATGCTGCAAAGCTGTTTTAGAGTTAATTCTACACTAGAGGAGTTTGAATTTTCATAATAAATTACACTTTCTAATTGTCTATTTTAAAATGAATAAAAAAATCTTAAACAAATAATGACTGAAGGGCAGTTGAGGCCTCCCCTCTTCCACTTCTCCCAGTTTTACTAAAATGCTATTGAGGAAATCATCTTTTCCATTGTTTCAATCAGAAGACCCATGCCTTGAATCTTTTTATTGGCTTCTTGTCTCTGATGGCATCACATTTAACCTCCTTGTCGTCAACTTCAAAACCCTACATATATCTCTGCTCTTACTCCTCTTTTTTCCTCTTCTTACTCTATACAATTCTCCTGATATTCTTGTCTTCCTCTTCCCTGGGGCACTCTCTCCTACTCTCTGCTTCACACTTGGTCACACTCCTCCAATACTCACCTCTTTCTCATTCACCAAATGCCTCTTTTCTCTTCTTTAATTGCTTTTTAGAATTTCACTTCTTATAGCAATCCCTCCTACTTTCTTCTCACATTCGTTCCCACATTCTCCCTTTACTGAACTCTTGTGCCATGTCTGGTCTTTCTGCATTAGTGTTGTTTAATGAAAACTGTGAATGCATCTGGGCAAGAATCATGTCTTTGTCAAGATTCTGGGCTAGGGAGGCACAACTAATGGCAGGAGCTTGGGATTCCAGAACTGAAGCCAGGGGTCAGAGCCGTAACAGGGTCAAGAGTCAAGCTGAGGAGCTTATATAGGGACAAGGAGCCAATCGGGGATCACTAAGACCACTGTCAGCCAGATTCCTTGAGGCAGAATGTTCCATGGCATTGAACCTCAGTGGATTGAGGGTCACAAGAAGTGGCCCAGTTACAGCTGCTGCTGGGTGGCACTGTGGGGATGTTGGCTGCTTAATAATCCTCCAGGCCTGAGTTCAAGTCCCATTGATCCTGACTTTACTATAGCACCTCCCGTTGGGAACTTGGGGGCACCCTGGTGGAATATATAAGCAGCCCTTGATGTAAAGCAAACAATCCCACAATGGGTGTTGTTCCTTACTTACTGTTTCAAGGTTTCTGGGGAGGGGCTTCTCCTTCATAACTGAATGGATTAGGGACAGGTGGTCCTGGGGAATGGTGGCATCCAGGAAATTATGGGGCCTGAGGATGTGTGGTGACTCAGTGTGGGGAAAAGTTGTGGTCAAGGAGGTAGTCCCCTTTTCCAGACAGGGCATCGGCTGCCTTGTTCTGGGCTCCTGGGTGATAGTAAAATTAAAGCATGTGAAGAACCAGGGCCCATCAAAGCTGTCTTTGGTTCAGCTCCTTACCCTTCTGAGATACTCCAAGTTTTTATGATCTGTATATATCTTCTCCAAAGGTGGCTTTGATTGTTAGAGCCTTCTTATCTAAAATCTCATCATTTTGTTCTGCCAGTGTGAGTTTATGAGAGTAATAGGCACAAGGAAGCAGGTGCTGTTGGGGGCCAGATCTTTGGGAAAGTATTGCCCCAATTGCAACATTAGGTGTGTCGGTCTCAACAACAAAGATCTGCATTCGACTGGGATGAATCATGATTGGAGCACTGGTGAAGGCCGTCTTGAACTGGTTGAATGCCCATTGACCAGGTGAAGGGGGTATGTTTGCAGACGAGCTTATTCTATGGACTATCTGTAGAGCCCTCCGTGGATACAAAATTTGTATATGCATCTGATGATACACAAACATGGTCTGCAGACAGCCGCAGATATAAAGCGGATATCTGCAGATTTGCAGGGCTCTAGCTATCTGATCTTAAAACCAAGGAATGACGTGTCTACAAAAATTAGTGAACTCCAGGAAGCATTGAAGCTCCATGATGTTCCAAAGGGCTGCCCAAGTCCAAACAGCATCCATCTTTCTGGAGTCAATTCAGAAGCCCTTATTGAACAAGATGTATCCCAATAACTCCATGGAATGCTAGTTGAAGCTGCACTTCTCAAGATTTGCACATATGCCATGTCAGTGGAGCCAATCCAGAACTGACCAGATGCGTTGAGTGTGCTGCTCAGGGCTCTCTGAGAAGATAAATATAGGATCAAGATATTCTATATCCAGGAGTAATAGTCTATCATGAAATATCTCATTTGCAAAGTGCTGGAATGCTGTTGAAAGATTGAATGGCATTACCAAATATTTGTAGTGGCTGTACTGGATTCGAAAGGCAATTTTCCACTCATCCCCTACATAGAGCCACACCAGGTTAAAGGCTCCACGGAGGTCAAGCTTGGTAAACTCCTGGGCTGATGTTACAGAGTCGAACAATTCCAGAACGAGTAGGAGAGGGTACCGGTTTCTGATGGTTACCTGTTTAAGGGACCAGAAATCCACACATAAAAGCAGGGTCTCATCTTTCTTCTCAACAAAAAGAACTCAGGCCCCAGCAGGGGAGGTGAAGGGATGGATAAATTCTCCTGGAGACAGGATCGCAAAGCGGTCAGCTCTGGCTCTAACATGGCATAGATGAAGCCAAAATGTATCTTGGCTCCAGGTTCCAGCTCAATCGGACAATCATAGTCAAGCTGGAGTGGGAGAGCAGCCACATTCTTTTTCTCAAAAACATCCATGTAGTCATGGTACTTGGCAGATAGGGCAGGAGTTGGTACTAATGGGGGTCCCTGCTGGGCTACAGCCTTGGCCCATGGACTCCTCAGCAGCATCCTGAACTCAGGATAGAGAGGTGCATCTTGGAGTTAAGACTCATCTGATGGTGCATGCAGGCAAAGTTGCTGACAGAATTCAGTGCGGAAAACGACTTTCTGCTCACACCAAAGGACATGCAGGTCATGAGTGGCCATCCATAAGATGCTGAGAATTATGAGGAAGTGTAGTGAGTGGATCACTCCAAACCAGAGGATCTCTCTATGGTCCTGGATAATGACTTCCAGGAGTACCGTTTCCAGTTTTACTGGGCCTTAGGACAGGAGCGAGCCATCTGTAGTTTTTAAAAGGTGGGAGGCCATTTTTTGTTGCAGCGGGATACCTAAGGCTTGTGCCATATCAGCGGCTATAAAACTATCCACAACCCCAGAGTCCACGAGCACCTACTAGGGGGTATTTTTAAGGTTTTCCCTGGGACATGCAGGCAAACCTGGAGTTGCAAGTGCTGGGCTCATCGTGCCTTGGACATGCTTCAGTAAGACGTGGGGGCAGCTTGGGGATGGATATCCCTTGGTCCAACCAGGCTGGTCCCACTTACCGGGCCTGGGTTTGGTCATTCCCCTACTTTTTCTGTGCAAGAGCCCGTGATGGGCAGCTGGCAAGTGTGTCCAGATTCTCCACAATAGAAACACAAGCCATGGCATCAGTGGTAATCCCTCTCCTCAAGGTCACATGATGATGGGCTGCATCAATTTGCATAAATTCTGGGACTGGCCACAGATGGGTACTGGGATACAACGTCTAGGTGATGGTGCAGCCAACTTCCTCTCTTTATTTCACTCATGCAGCCTGTTGTCAATGCATATAGCAAGACTGATGAAGGCATCTAGATGAGTCAGGGTTTCCATGAGAGCTAGTTCATCCTTGATCTCTTCTATCAATTCCGATGCAGATTACATGAGCTAGGCAGCTTCATTCCATTCTGTATTGGAGATGAGTTGCCTAAAGTGGGTAGCTTTGGAGGCAACCGGTCCCTGCCCTTGCCATAGTTTTCATGGGGCTGCTTCCACCAAGTGAGCATGGTGGGGGTTGTCAAAAATAGAGAAGGCCTGGAGGAAGACATCCCAGTTCAATAGTGTTGGACTCTGTTGTTCCATTAGGAGTGAAGCCCACTCCAGCACCTCTCCCATCAGGAGACTAATTATGAGTCCTACTTTAGCCTGGTCAATGGAGAAGAACTGTAGGTGGAGCAGGAACAGCAGGTGTCATTGGTTGAGGAAAGCCCTACATTTTTACGGTCTCCATTGTAATGCTCTGGGATGGGGACTGTTGGACCAGAGTCTGGGTGCACTGTGGCACAGTGTTCTAGTCCCACAACCCAGTGGCTGCTCTCACAATAGCTGGTTCTTGGTGGTGTACTGTGTCACCTGGGCCTATAACAGTGTTTTCATCGAGTTGCTGGGGGATCTGCACTCACAGGGTCTGATTCTCAGACGAGAGCTGCACCACCTGTGTCTGAAACATGAGAAGTTCCTCCTGCAGGCTGTCAACCTGTCCAGGTGATCTAGTGCCCATTGGGACATTCTAGGTAGGGGACAACCCCACTGCCTCCATGTCCCACAGGGACAGCTTTCTATATGGGTTAGTGGCAGTCCAGGATCCTGGGCAAAAGGGAGGCAGGATTAGTAGCAGGAGATTGAGATACTGGAACTGAAGCCAGGAGTCAGAGCCAGTATCAGGGTCCAAGAGTCAAACTGAGTGTCAAGTTGGAGTCAGAGTCAGGAGTTAAGCTGAGGGACAGAGACAGAGCCAGGAATCAGGCTGAGGGTCAATACCAGGAATCAGGATCTGTGTTGGGGTTTCAGGAGTCAATCGGGAGTCAGAATCCAAATCAGAGCTGAGATTACTACCTGGAGTTCAGGAACAGAGCAGCAGGGCAGTCATGGCAACTAGCTAGGGGTCCACATTGTTGCCTGGACACTTCCTGATATGCCCCATGGGCTTATATAGAGACAAGGAGCCAATTTGGGATCACTAAGTCCACAATCAGTCAGATTCCCCAAGGTGGAACTTCCCATAGCATTGAACCTCTGGATTGTGGGTCACAGGGAGTGGCCAGGTTACAGTTGTTGCCAGGTGGCTGTGTGGGGATGTTGGTTGCCTGCTATCAAGTCCTACTGATCCTTATAGTCTTACTTTATATTTGAACAGCAAGATTAATTTTTACCACTGTCTAAGTGGTTATTAATAAATAATCCACCATAAATCCTTCAAAAAGATTGAAAAAAGACTGAAAGCCCCACTCCACACTTGTATGTATTCTTCCCTACACTATTAACTTAATCTAAAATAATACAAGAAAAACCTAGTTAAACATCTTTTTTTTAAATTTCCAGACAGCTCCCTCTTTTCAGGTACACACTGAAATGATTTACTGATTTTACCTTCGCCCTTTTCTAATCTCTTGGGGCGGTCCCTGTACCATTTGCCTGCTATGCAGAAGGAATTCAACAAACTGTGACCTTTAGCTTGAGCAGAATTTACTTACCATGGTGCATAAACCCATTGTCACATAGTCCTACACCAAAGATCATTGCTTCTTCCCTGGTCCGACAATCCCCCTGTTAAACCATAATAAACACTATGTAATATAAGAGCATAAGAACATAAGAATGGCCATACTGGCTCAGACCAATGGTCCATCTAGCCCAGCATCCAGTTGTCTGACAGTGGCCAGTGCCAGATGCTTCAGAGGGAATGAACAGAACAGGACAATTTATCAAGCGATCCATCCCGTCATTCACTCCCAGCTTCTGGAAGTCAGAGGTTTAGGGACACCCAGAGCATGGGGTTGAGTCCCTGACCATCTTATCTAATAACCATTGATGGACCTGACCTCCATGAATTTAGCTAATTCTTTTTTGAACCCAGTTATACTTTTGGCCTTCACAACATCCCCTGGCAATGAGGTCCACAGATTGACTGTGTGTGGTATGAAGAAGTACTTCTTCATGTTTATTTTACACTTGCTGTCTATTAATTTCATTAGGTAACCCTAGTTCTTGTGTTATGTGAAGGGGTAACTAATACTTCCTTATTTACTTTTTCCACATCATTCATGGTTTTATAGACCTCTATCATATCCTCCCTTAGTCATATAAGAACATAAGAATGAACAATAATGAATATAATTCAGAAAAATTGAACCTATTCTATCTTCATATCATGCAAAGAAATCACACTGGAACAGTGGAGAGCTGTGCACAAAGATCATGGGCAGATTATGCTCCTAGATAACACATGTTTTCCATCATCTCAGTGACGATTGCCCCCATTGTAATTAGCCACAACATTTTCTCATAAAATGGCGAATCTTTTTGTTAATATTACATTGTCTCTATACATTGAGTATTTATTGACAACCTTCAGAACTAAAGTTCATAAGAGATCCTCCGTTTTTTGTAACTTTTTCTGTTTCTAAAACTCATTTTCACAAATTATCTTCTTCATTCCATACATTGCCTACTTTAATTTCTATGCTCTTTCATCATCTTTGTGAACATATATGCTCAAATCTATATTTAAACCTACTCAAAGAACCATGTTAACTTTTATTTATAATCCACATAACTTTCTGTTCTCAGGTATCCACGTACTCCAGTGTTGAAAAGGAAGGATTCTTAAATCCCCTCTGTCATGCTATTCCCAAAGAAAACACTTAATTCTTTTCACATTCTGCAGCCCCTCCATAACAGGAGCACATAATCACACTCCAGAAAAGCAGCAAAGTTAGGAAAATATTGGTACAACTTGATTCAACAAAGAAGTTTTTCCTATTTTCTTCCAATACAAACCACAACTTTGCCTAAAACAAACTGGTTGTAAACTGCTCCCTGCTGCTTCCTTTTGTCCATTCAGTCAGTAATCTGCAGCTTCACACACCATTCATTTTAACTATACACATTATTAAACAAAATGCTAGCATTTTGAAAGCAGCAAGAAGCTAAGCAGCATGAAAAATTGAAAGATCAATGTGAAACACAGGAAGATCAGCAACTGACCATGGACAGCTGAATCTTGCTGTTTTACAGAATCAACAGGATATTTACATTAACTCTGTTCTAATAATTAGAACTTTAAAACAACGTATTTTCATTTTCTTCTATGTGATAAATTACAACTTTCCATGTTAGGAAGTTAAATTCATAATGCAGAAAAGTAAATCAACCCCAGGATACACTTGCCTGTGCAATTAGCCAGTCTATCAGTTTGTTAGCCATGACTACAGATTTATATGTCCTCAGATGATAATCTTTATCCCTGTTTAAAAAAAACAGAAGGAAAAAATCCTATGTTTTACACACAAATTGACACAAGCATGATCTATGTTGTTTTTTGAATAGTTTTCTGTACCTTAAAAATAGAACTTCAGAAGCTGCCCTGAGGTCTCAACTCCTTAGATGGAGCAAGCCAAAGCCTACAGTGTAGATAGGAGTGGGGAGGAGGGCTGGACTTGTCCCTAGGTAGCCAACCATGTTCCCTGGGTGTAAGGATAGGCATCATGTTACAAGCATGGGAGTGATTCTCCAAGTGAGATATATAGTGCTAACATGAATGTGAGTGCGCTACGTATGTGGTAAGCCTCTGAGCATGCCCAGTATGAACTAGATTCTTCAAAAAGCCTGAGTAAACTGTCCTGACAAACCTGATTCCTGCTTTCTTAGTGAAAATGACACTTGGGGCACTATCTATACAAAGCAGCCTGGGACCGTACACAGTACTTTTAAGTGCTAGGTTGGAATCCCATCCTGCTGCTACTCTGGGTTTTGGGAGCAATCTCCCTACAATTTCTTCCCCACTAACACACCGCCTGAAACACAGGCTAGGATTTGGCTCTGTGTTTGTATCTAGTAGCTACAGTATTCAAATGTATACGTTTGTTCTAAATAAGTCACTAAGAACTTCACAGCTGGACTCACCTTATCACTGGAGTAAACAGACTGTGAAGACGACAGTACAATCTTACACCCTGTTAAAGATATAGATATGTTTAAATCCACATTTACACTGAAGCAAATACCACTCAGTACATATTCTGACAATACCTATCCATTCAAAATAATGCAAATAACTTGTATTTTAAAAAAGTAGAACAGAAAAAGTGAATATTCATTTCATAGATATGTTTTCATGCAGTTATTTCTGAACTGTAATAAGCCTCCAGATTACAAGACAAATAATATTTGTGACTAAATTATCATGGGCTTGTCTAATTAATCTTAGAAATCCGAGAGATATGTAAAGACGAGTTACATAACTTTAGCACAGCATTAAAAGATTTTTTTTAACCTACATTAGTTTAAAAGAAATGTATATGTTAAACTTTCACAGCTAAGATGACTTTCTGTGCAAATGAGGATTCCAAACAAACTGAATTACTAGAGAGGAGAAAAGTGAAGTATATTTATGAATATTGCCAGAAAATCAAATTGAACATGACCCACTGTATCCACAAGCAAGCCAAATAAAAATTAGATGTAAAACAGTTCAAAAGTTTTAAAACTTTTAATAAAGAGTCATATATATTTGGTTTCTAATGTTTTAATCACAAGCATGTAACTATCCATATACAGATTTAACAAAACAGCATTAAGATTATGGCACACGGTACAGTGGCAAAACAAAAGAAATGTAAAGTTTAGGCAGAAACTGTGTCTGCTAAGTCTGCATTGAGGGATCCCCTTCACTTGAGACACTCTATATTAGGAAACATCTAATTGAAGAATCAGTGAAGCAGCTGTCCTAACTCAGCAGGCTGGGAGAAAACCTGAATGGTCCCAATTTTCCACTGGATCAGGAACACAGGATCACAAATTTAAAAACATCAAAGGGACTAAAGATGACTCTGTTGACTTTGTTTTATTCTTTCAATATATCCTTGGGTACAGTGTCAGGGTGGAGATCATGCAACCTGCATATTTCCATTAAAACATCAGGTGACTTTTGATAAGCCAATATACCCTTCACACACTAAAGGAATACCAAAAGCCACTCCGATACAAACAAAAAGAAATTCTGGTTTATACTCCCATACTCTTTTTCTTTTCACTGAATATAAGTGGACTGAAAAATACAGTAAACTACTGTTTCTACTCCAGTCATTCAAAAAGGTGGGCATTATATCCTTTATATGTTTATGTAACATAGTACCTCCTGGATAAAATCATTTTTAGAAACATATTTCTCAGTTTCTGTATTCAAAATATGGTTTGCAATAAGCCCAGAGCCAAAATCTGCCTACAGATATACATAATTAACTTTGATTCACATTAGACAGGTGTCCAGGGACATAGTTTTTCCTAACACAATGCATTTTGCTTGATTTTAAACTAGGACCTCTGTATCTGACCCATTTTTAATGATAAGAGCAGTTTATACCTTGGAAATCACATCCTGCATTTCACTTCTTGGATAGTATGTTCCATCATCATAACGGAACCTGTAGAGCATGTGTTCAGGTTTGAACTGGTGCTTATCTGTAACTAATAATTATCAAGTGTTAGCCAAAGAATTCCAGCTTTCTGCACAGGCAGGAGATTAATTAAGGGTACAAATACAGTAATTCCCTACAAGACAACCCCAAATACATTCAGTAATAAAGACATATCATGGATCTATAATTAAACATATGTTGCTATTATTTAAGATGGAAAAGATCTACTTGAGTAAGCAAATGTCAATATTTTTTAAATAGCAACAATACATAGAAAAACGAATTTTGTAGGTTGGGGCCAAATTGTTTCTAGCCCTTATGCTGATGCCTAGAGAGCGGGACAGCAATGTACGATGCCTTTCCTACTTGCATGACCCATAAAAAGTCAGGCGGAATGGCAGGCCCTGCACTCTTAGGAGCACAAGGGTTGCTCTGTCCTAACACCCCTCCCCGCCAAGGTTGCATAGCACCTCAAAGCAGGAGGAAGGCATAGGTGGGAGCTTGAACCATAGTTCTACTGTCACCCACCCACACTAGCCAGCAGAACTGACCAGTTTTGTGCAGGGGAGTAAATGACATCCCAAAAAGGAGCAGGTGCATAGTCTCCACACATCCAAGAGCTCCAGGAGGCAAGATTATGGGGTTTTTAAATAGTCTCATGCATGAGATATATGGAGTATTTCCTGAAGTCTTTGCCTTGGCAATATTCCAATTACAGTTAACATCCTTGCAAAAGAGACCCGCATCTTAAATTTGTAAACAATCAGAGCTAGATTGTTCCATTCAAAAGGAGAGATAGCCTAGTGCAGGGGTCGGCAACCTTTCAGAAGTGGTGTGCCAAGTCTTCATTTATTCACTCTAATTTAAGGTTTCGTGTGCCAGTAATACATTTTAAGGTTTTTAGAAGATCTCTTTCTATAAGTCTATATTATATAACTAAACTGTTATTGTATGTAAAGTAAATAAGGTTTTTAAAATGTTTAAGAAGCTTCATGTAAAGTTAAATTAAAATGCAGAGCCCCCCGGACCGGTAGCCAGGACCTGGGCAATGTGAGTGCCACTGGAAATCAGCGCGCGTGCCGCCTTTGGCACACATGCCATAGGTTGCCTACCCCTGGCCTAGTGCATACTAACCTGCAACTTGGGAAACCTGGGTTTAATTCTGTTTCCTATCACAGACTTCCTTATGACCTTGAACTAGTCCCTTAATTTCTCTGTGCCTCAGGTCTCCATCCATAAAATGGGGACAATCGTACTTCCCTACCTCAGAGGGGTGTCTTAAGAACCAAAATATTAATGATTGTGAGGTGCTCAGACACTTTGGTAATGGAGTCATACATTAATATAGATAGATTCAAATAGGGCCCATATTAAGGGCTAGTAGAAGAGCACCAGGAAGCATGCCATAATAAATGCCTATTCTCTTTTACAGGGATGTTTAAGAAGACAGGGTGACATCCTGTATAATTACACAACTAATTCATAAAACTCTAAGGCCAATTCTTGAAGTTCTTAATGAGTCTTTACCCAGGTAAAATTGACATTACCCTTAATGGAAGTTTTATCTGAGTGATGGCAACATTTATTCCATACATCTCATGCACCCAATTGTTAAAAATCTAATCTTGCTATCTTGATAATCTTATAAATTATCATTTATAAATGACAGGTTTCAGAGTAGTAGCTGTGCTAGTCTGTATCAGCAAAAAGAACAGGAGTACTTCTGGCACCTTAGAGACTAACAAATTTAATTGAGCATAAGCTTTCGTGGGCTACAGCCCACTTCATCGGATACATAGAATGGAACATACAGTAAGAAGATATTTATACATACATTTATAAATGTTCTCTCAACCTGATCTCTCACTCAGCCATTGGAATTTTTATTTTTTCTATATTGGTGTTTTGTTTTGTTTTGTTCTTTAATCAAGGTTAATTAAATACACAGATGAGTCTAACTCTGTAGTTCTTCCACACAAAGAACATTCATTGACGTAAAACGAACCATACATACAAAACTGAACTTATTAATGTCAGAATGATAAAAAAGAACCCTTCTAAATGTCTCAGTTTGCTAGGATATTTAGCAATGATGGTTCAGAAGTTTGGATAAACACCACAAAATACAGATGCTTATCCAAATTGCCTCAAATATCTTGAGTTTGCAAAGCAGTCTGGAAATTTTGTGAAAACAGGCTCTCATTCCAGTATACCTTGCTTCCAGTAGTGAATGGAACTTGGAGATGCAAGGACATGGAAAAAAAATTAAAGAAAGTTCACAAGACTTTTTGGAACCTTTAAAAAATGGTGTGGTGCAAAGTATAGCCTAATGTTTGATCTAGTCCTTCTTTCATCCAGAGTGTGTTGCACAATCCTAATATTTATCTAAGTAAATTAGCTAACCTTAAGGGTATTTTGGTAACTACAAAGCTCCTTATGATGTTGAAAGGAAACTTGCATTTATAATCAGCAGGGATAATTGATCCAGCAAGACAGTTCAACCCACTAACTGATAATAATGAGTCCTCTCAAATGTCAAAGACAATGCTTCTAGGTAGGTTTAGCAAATGAATTTCTTCTTTGAGCAAGATTGGGGAAAAACAAGGAAAGAAAAATAATTTTTTCATTACCACAGAGTTTACATATCCACTAGGAAAACAATGTTCAGCACAGTGAGGGTCTGCACTATAAAAATAATGCCAGCACACTGAAAATAAATGACCAGCATAGTGACTATCTGAGTCTAGCAAAACCCTGTACAACATTTGTAATGCGCATAACAGCCAAACTCCCCCTCCCCCCGCACCCCGTGAAAACAGATGGTTCATTCAACTTTATTTTAAGAATTCTATTTTCACTGAAACACAGCTGGATCCACACACTAATGAAAGTAATATGTCTGGCTCAAACTTCCATGCTCAGATATAATACCCTTTCATTGTGAAATCACATAACATTCATTTAAGTCTGTGTTGAGGGAATCTATTAGTGTATTTTGGATAAAATTTAAAAGATCAGTAGAAGAATTTTTGGCATCAAAACCTTTCTACTGACAAAAGTTCTATGTGTGTAGTAAACATACTACAGTCTGACATTTTGAATGATTATTGAAGAAATAGTATAGATCATTCACATTAAAATGCAAAAAACTATATGAAGAGAGATGAATAACCTGGATTTGTCTCCTTCTATTCTACATGTGTTCAGAGTACTCATAACCCTGATCCTCACCTTTCTTTATCAGCCAAGGATATTGAAGAAGCAATAGCAAAGAACTGGGATGTCACCTGAAGCCCTCAGATTTCCTTGACCATTGTTAAATAGAAGACGAAGAAAAAAGCATTTCTGCATACTGCTGTTATTTGGGTGTCCAGGAGCAGCAATTAATCCAAAAGGTCCCCAAGGCTTTGACAAGTAGTGCAAAAATAATTAGAGTAGCCGTGTACATTGCTAGCCATGTATACTCCTCAAACAAAATGGAAGCTTCCACAATGGCAAGAGTCCAGCTGACCCAGGTAGCCTTGGTAGGCTCTGTATTGCAAAAGTGCCAGGGCTGAAGATTTGCCACCCTGTGAAAGGCCCAATGCAACATTTGCCAACTTTATTAAATCCACTCCTGCTTACTCACTCAGAAATTTGTGTCAAGAAGGACACACCCTGCAGAACTTTTCCAGACTGCAAACCCTAATTTATTTTACTCAGCCCAACTACCTAGCACCTCTTGTGAGAAATCATAGTATTTCACAGAAAAGATCATCTGCAACTAGAATGGCCTCAAGAGCCACTAAGAACGACAAAACAAAACTAGGGCTAGAAATAACATCCTCCTTCTAAGAATTTGGGCCGTTCACAATAGTACTAGTCATGGAGGCACTAATGGCAACCAAGGCCACCACCTGTTACTCTGTCCCCTCCTCCTCCTGGATGGTGAAAAACAGCACAGAATATGTGGGACCCCTACTAATAACAGCCAACACCTCCTTTGCCAAGGGGAATCTATCCCTCACACAAAAACATGCAATAGTCAGACCAATACTAAAGGAGACATTGCTCAACAGTGGAGACACCACAAAGTATTGCCTAGTGTCAAACTTTTTAGAGAAGCTAGCTACCTATAGTCCACAATGCCATGTGTCAGCTACCAGTGTTCTGTGTCCCCTCAGTCACATTTTTGGCAAGGTATAGAGACTGCTCTTAAAGCTCTGGCAGAAGACTTGCTCCTGTCCATAGACATAGGAAGAACACCCATACTCAAACTAGAAGGAAAAGGGACACACTTCAAAGAATTTATTTCAGACTGGAAATAATAAGGTATACATTTTTAACTTTGAGAGTAATTAACCACTAGAACAAATTTACCAAGGGTCTTGGTGGATTCTTCATCACTGACAATCAAGATTGGATGTTTTTCTAAAAGATATACTCTGGGAATTATTTGAGGGAAATTCTGTGGCCTGTGTAATATAGGAGGTCATACTAGATGATCACAATGGTCCCTTCTGGCCTTGGAATCAATGAATCTATGAACTTGCCTTCTCGATATCATCCGGGGATGATTCATTCCCTGTTAGTTAAAGGGGCTAACATCTGGTCACTGTGGAGTGGTTTGTATACAGCAGTGAAGTGGTCAACCACTTCCAACCTAACCAGCAGGTTTTCACTAAATCTAGCTAACTACTACTTTTGACTTAGTTGAGGACTTGGTCTGAAAGTTTCTCCTCCTGTATCCATGTACTGTGTCCCTGCATTCAAGAGAATGCCCAGCTGGTAGAGTGGGACTTGGGCACAAAACCCTGCATTGCTACACATGATAGAGATTGTGAGAAGACAGCCTCATAAAGGCAGGTCCAGGTGAAAACTGAGTGGAATCCCACCTGGGTTTCAGCCTATCCCAGGTTCAGGAAATCCCTATGATGTAGCACAAGTGGGTTCTAGTTGTGCTGCAGGTCCAACAAACAGTCATAGTCAGGGCCGGCTCCAGGGTTTTGGCCGCCCCAAGCAGCCAAACAAAAAAAGCCGTGATCTACGGCGGCAATTTGGTGGGAGGTCCTTCGCTCCGAGCAGGAGTGAGGGACCCTCCGCCGAATTGCCGCCGAACAGCTGGACGTGCCGCCCCTCTCCGAAGTGGCCGCCCCAAGCACCTGCTTGGTAAGCTGGTGCCTGGAGCCGGCCCTGCATACAGTACACTCACAACGGCTGGTCTGGTCATGCTGTGGTTCTGCCAGGACTTGCTTCTCAGCCTTCTGCTGCTTGAGGCACTGCTCACCACGATGGGGGGCAGCCAGGCCAACCCTGAGTGGTTCTGTGACCCTGTGTGTCAGGTCGCAACTCCACTCACTCAATTTTGAGCTCCCTAGGTATTTTAGCGGTTGGGAGCAGGGAGCCAGAACAGGACTTTGATGGAGAAGTCAGTCAAAATGCAAAGATCTCATTGGATAGCACTTCAGAGGGCTGGACTCATCAATTAGATGTCACAATGTTGATGACATCATCTGTCTTGGATGTTCTATCAGGGCCAGTCCCTGCCCCTTAGGTGACAATGTCAGGCTGGGCAATGGATAGAGACAGAGAGGCATAGCAGATAAATGGGGATTACCATTAAAGCATATGGCCTCCCACAAGGTAAGTACAGCGAGAGCATCTTGAAGGGACTTAAAAGGGGCTAGTGGAGATGACCATCAGTTCTCCTGGGCTCACTCTCTCTTTCTTTGTGTAGAGGAAAGAAGAGGCTCGAGGACCTCCCTGATCCCAAATTGATCAATGGGTCATTATCAGAGATAATGCAGAATTCTGATCTGGATTTAGATTTCTGACACCCCAAAAGGACAGACTGTTGGTTCTGGAGTTTTGATTCAGCTCTTTATCAACATGGAGCTAATGAATTTTTATAGGCAACCCCAGGTTCAGATTCAAAATCCCTGTTAAATTCAGGAGTGATGGGGTCCATGTCTCTGGTGAGTGAGGTGTGGAACTCGAGAGAAAATAGGTGATGTGGGGACTGAATAAACCTAGAAAATTGGAAAAAGACAGACCTTGGGTGGAGGGTCCCTTGTTCCATTTACCCTCACATTCAGGGGTCATTTTTTCATATCTCAAATGTCTTGGCCCAAAACTTTTCTGAAAAGAATAAAACCGTGGCCCATGTGAGTGTTTCTGGTCCCACTGCCCATGACTTTATGACATTCCCTCTAAAGGAAACAGGAAATAACTGCTGTAAAGGAAATAATAAGGACTCAGTTCTACTTGGAGTTGACGGGGATGTGCAAAAAGACTAGAATATTGGTCTGGGGAGAAATCAGCTGAAATGCAGCAATGTCCTCAGGCAGGAGCAATTTTAAGAGGGTGCTACAATGGCAACGGTAGCCTTGGGATATCCCACTGGGAAAGATACCATTGCCATCTCTCCCATCCGGGGCTCAGAATGGTGAAGGGACAAGCACAGTCAATACTCCAGAAGAGCTTAGTACTTTTATTAAAATAATGTATTTTTCCACATTTCTATCTGTGCATAAGCATCCTGTGTGTGTATATGTTTGTGTGTATATGTACACAGAGACAGAGAGAGAGATCAGAGCCCCTCAGCCAAGCCCAACAGACCCGACAGGGACACAGCGCAGCGAATGTGTTTTGCTCTGACACCACAATGCAAAGATCAGATGGAATTTTATTGCTTGTCTCTCTTGTTTTATTTAGTTTGCGAGCTCTTCAGGGCAGTGACATTTCAGATTTATGTTGCGTAGGCACCGAGCTCACTAAAGGCACTATCCCCAGGATTTATATTAACTCAACCACTGTCCTGCATCCTTGCCTTTAGTGCCTGGAAAAGCCATCACACCCCTCCCTTCCCCATCACATCCCTTCCTTCTAGGCCATGGTGACAACAGGAAGCTCTTCATTGCCCTCACCATGTTGAGATCTTGCAGTTCAGCATTGAAACAATGACTATTATCAAATCTCATGATTCAGGGCTTCAAATGGTCAGCTGCAGGGATCAGGAAGGATTTTTTCTCCCTCTGAAACACAATTGGCCAGATCCAGATTTTATGGGTTTTATTGCCTTCCTCTGAAACATCAGGTACTGTTCACAGCTGGAGGCAGCACAGCAGACAAGGTGGACTGATGCTCTGAGGTGATTCAGGTAATCTTTGTTCCCAGATGCTTGGCTGGCTGGTTCTTGCTCACATGCTCAGGGTCAAACTGGTTGCCAGATTTGGGGATTTTTCGCCCAGGTCAGATTAGCAGAGACTTTAGGGGTTTCCTGCTTTCCTCCGCAGCACTGAGCAGGATCACTTGTAAGGATCATCTGGACATATCTGTCTTACTCAGTTCCCTGCCATTGCAGGGCCTTCAGGCATTGGTGGCCCCTCAGTCGCTCCTGTTCATTCTCCACGGCACACAACAGGTATTTGGCTTGATTTGGTCCAATAAAAATCCATGTGGAGAGATTCAGAAGTAAGTTGTCCGTTATCTCCCATTCCCCTCTGTTCTTCATGTCCTCCCACCTAACCAAGCCTTCTGTGCCTTACTCCATTGCATTTAATTCTCTTCCTCTTTCTCCACTACTCTGCCTGGATGCCAGCAGGGGGGCAGTGGTGGCAGGCATTGAGACCACAGGAAAGACAGTCTTCCTGCTCTCAATTCTCATGTTGGTGACACTGCAGCCTCTCACTGCCAGGAGGAACAATTACAGGAAAATCCTATTTAGTCCTTGCACCCCAGGGCAGGAGCATGTTCCATTGCTCTATGGGGACAGTGCATGCACAGTCTGGTTGGCTGTGGTGGAACTGAGCATACTCAGACTATGTGCAAACTGAGCATGTGCAAATTGATTTTTCAGAGGGTTATAACTTGGCCAAATTTGGGTGGCTTTTCACAGGGATGGCAAAAAGCACATCCCTGACCCAAAGGCCACAACTCTGCCAAATTTCAACTCCCTACTCCAAAGCAGTGAGGTGATAGAGCTTCCCTATGAAATAGCTGTAAAAACGTTTTTAACATAGGCAAAACAATGTATTTTCCCCTAACCTCCGTCTGTGACATGGCTGAAACATTTTTGCTAAAATTTTCCCAAAATTGAAAAATTGGCCTGAAGAAGACACCCAACATGGACAATATCAGCCTGAACAGTTAGGGTTTGGAAAAGTTATAAGCAACTGAAATCAAGGTCTTATAATGGAAAGTGTTAGGCAACTTTACCTATAGTTACACCTATAACACTTGGCAAGCAATCAGGTAAGGTCTGATCCAACTCTCATTATATTTATTCTGAGTTGGATTGGATCGGATAAGACCTATACTGCTGAGATATGGGCACTATAAGTACTTAGATGGGTTTAATCTGGAGAAATGTCACTTCCATGTTTGAAAGGGGAAAAAAATATTTTCAGGAATATGTAATAGTCGTCTGTCCCCTTTAAGTCAGAGAGAGAGGAAGAGTGGGGCCTGCGCCAGTCAACCCTGTTCCAAGGTATGGCAATTTTAAGAATCAATGTTCCACTGTGGGCTTGTCTACGTGCAGAAGTAAGTGCCCAGTAAGTCAGGGTGTGAATTTAAAGAACACTAGCTAATCCGCACTAACTCCCCTTGTGGACACTCTTACTGTGCACTTAAGAGTGCACTCAGGCAGGTTAGCTTAGTAGACTTCTAAAGTGTATTATGCTAATAAGTACAAAACCACTCTTCGTAGCCACACGGGGAGTTTGTACAGAGTTGCTAGTGTGTACCAGGTACTGCAGACTTTTCCTCTATGTAGACTAGCCCTGAGGATCAACAGGCCAAGTTGAGAATGAAGTACAGGTGCCAGAGTCAAGTGACAGCCTCCTGACCATTACAAAGGCAGTGTTGCCAACTTGCATGGTTTTCTGAGTGTAGGGGGTTCTTAAAACCCTTAACTGCTGCAATTGTGTTATTACCTCAGCTTTCAATTTCTAAGAAACCTCTAGCCCTCATTGCTGCAGAGAAGAAGCCTGAAAACATGAACTCTAGTCTCCAACAACAGAAGGCAAATAAAAAGAACTCTACATTTATTGCTTTTCTTTAATCTCATGACTTTTTGGTGCCTGACTACAATTTTTGAATGCTTTGTGTTGGTAATATACAAAGGACTACTCTTGGCACAGGTGGGGGAGAGCCTAGAATGAGGTGAGACCTGCAGGGAGGTCCCTTAAGGTAGAATCAGAACCTTGGTGGACTGGAGAAACCTGCCAGAAGTGAGAGAAAGGCCCAGAAAGGAGATCTATGGATATCTTCTTCCAAGAGTGAAGACGTTTGAACCCAGAACTGAGGTCAGAAATACCCAAGGAAAAAGACTCTCCAGGGAGGCCAGGTTAGTACCTAGGAAGAGGCCCTGAGAAGGAAAGAAAGCAAGTTTGGCTTTGAATTATGGGGCAGATACCCTAGTTGTTTAGAGTTCACAGAGGTAGGAACCCTTAGTAGAAGGTAGGAGTGGGTCCCCCCATGCTACTACCCTGTGAAGGACTTCACTCTTCGACGTTAAGTACTGACAAACCAGTTTTGTGTTAATCAGAAAAGAATGTTCAAAATAACAACAAATACAAACATAATTTACCTTGAAAATATGTACATATGTTGAAATAAAATATATTTACCATGGTGGATAATGCCATTCTCTAACAACGCTTGGCCAAGATGAACACCTTCTTCAGATTTGTGTATTTCTCCAGTTTCCAGTAACCAGGACACAAACTCACTAGATTAAAAAACAAAACAAAACCACACACATACAAAACAATTCCAATATTTTTAAGGCTTTAACTCTAGAAAGCAATACTGTACAATATTCCGCACACTATTCATTTAGCAGACTGCAATGAGCAGTATTCATACTGACATAACACTCTTCAACATATTCTGCATAACAGAATTATTTCCAACATATTCTCATTTTCCACTTGTATTTGTTATACGCAGAGCTGGTAGTCACTCCTATTAAGGTTGAGGGATACTTCCCATTATAAGACCGTGTTTTCAGTTACTTATAACTTTGCCAAACTTTAACTGTCAGGCTGAAATTTTCCATGCTTGGTGTCTGCCACAAGATGCATTTTTCTGGAAAATTGCAGCCAAAACAGTTCAGCTGCTTCTGACAACAAGATTAGAGGAAAAATACATTGTCTTGCCCATGGTGTTTTTTTTCCTGAGACCCTTTAAATGTCTCTCGTCTTTAGAGCAGGGACTTGAAATTTGGCAGAGGGCAGATGTCCTTTGTGTGATGGATGTGTTTTTTGACATCTCTGGGAAAATCCACCCAAATTTGGCCAAGTTATAAGTATATAAATATCTCAGTTTGTATATGCCCAGTAGAGACTTGCTCAGTGACAATGGAAGTTTTAGCTGCAACACTCTATCATGCTCCAGCCTCGGATACAGGGGTCAGAGCAGGACTCTCTCTGCAATTGCAGCTCTGGGCTCTGTAGGCCATGGTGGGGCTGGGGCATCAGAACTGAGAGACTGAAGATTCTCTCTCCTGTGATCTTAGTGACCATCCTGCTGAGCCTGCGCAGTGTGGATGAGGAAATTTCCTAAATCAAATGCAAAGGGGACAAGACAGATTGGGAAAAAGAGTCTGGGAGTGGGAGTGAGATCCGGGAGGCTGGTGGGGAGAGGTTGGGACTGGCTGGACAAGGAAATTGGACTCAGAACCAGTGGAGCAGGGGAAAGGAGGTGATGGGAGGGAGACATCTGTAGGAAAGCAGATGAGAAGGCCCAGGAGCTACTGTGGACCAGAAACATGGGCAGGGGCAGAGTAAGCAACTGGACATGAGAGGGGAGGGGAGAGACAGATCAGTTAAGAATCCAGGTGCGGGAGGAGACAAGGAACCAGGGCTGGGAACAGATAAGCAAGGAGACTAGGACTGGGATGAGAAGCCTGAGGAGTGGATAGTGGACTAGCAAGGTAAAAGGAATAGGACTAGAATGAGAAGCCAGGGTGGAGAAGACACATGATTGGGATGGATACAGGCCAAAAGAGTCTGTGCCCACAAAAGCACATTCCGCGGCAGAAACTGGAATGGAACCCAAGTCTGCTGAGTCTCATCATTCCTTTGCTGTCAGCAAATATCTGTGAAATCCACTGCCAAAGTATGTGTCTTATCTTTCTCTAGTTATCTGGAGGATGTCAACTTACTATCATTATCAGTCACTCCATTATGTCGAGTGGCAGAAGTCTATGTGGTAGACTTAATGTTTCCAACCCTGCTGATATTGCATGTGGGTGTCAATGTGATGCCACATGATGGAATACATGTTTTATTAGTAACCTAGGAAATTACACACCCACAAAATACTATATTAAAAGAGTATTACTGAGATTGCAAAGTCAAGCACTCAAAACTTAGGAAGTGACAGAATTAAGGTTGCCCATGTAACCTTAATTCACCACCCTTGTGTGTCTGGATTATAATACAGGGCTTTTAATACGTAGTCATTCTTCCGCTCTACTCTGCGCTGGTTAGGCCTCAACTGGAGTATTGTGTCCAGTTCTGAGCACCGCATTTCAAGAAAGATGTGGAGAAATTGGAGAGGGTCCAGAGAAGAGCAACAAGAATGTTTAAAGGTCTTGAGAACATGACCTATGAAGGAAGGCTGAAAGAATTGGGTTTGTTTAGTTTGGAAAAGAGAAGACTGAGAGGGGACATGATAGCAGTTTTCAGGTATCTAAAAGGGTGTCATAAGGAGGAGGGAGAAAACTTGTTCACCTTAGCCTCTAAGGATAGAACAAGAAGCAATGGGCTTAAACTGCAGCAAGGGAGGTTTAGGCTGGACATTAGGAAAAAGTTCCTAACTGTCAGGGTGGTTAAACACTGGAATAAACTGCCTAGGGAGGTTGTGGAATCTCCATCTCTGGAGATATTTAAGAGTAGGTTAGATAAATGTCTATCAGGGATGGTCTAGACAGTATTTGGTCCTGCCATGAGGGCAGGGGACTGGACTCGATGACCTCTCGAGGTCCCTTCCAGTCCTAGAATCTATGAATCTATGAATACGTAATCACATACTATTTCTAACACAGGACCCCTAACTTATTCAGTTCACAGCATGGCCTGCTCTGGGGATCAATCAGGGCTGAATGTGAAGGAGTCTCTCGTCTGTAGGATTGTTGTGATAATTGCGTATAATTGTGAGCTCAACCGTGAAAAGTGATGGTAAGTTTATAAAAGGTCACAATAACCTATAACAAGAAATGTTAAAGGGGGGAAAGTATAAAAAGTGAGACAGAAAGACTGAATTAGTCCAGAATGAAAAGGCCTACTAATATACACCTCTACCTCGATATAACGCTGTCCTCGGGAGCCAAAAAATCTTACCGCGTTATAGGTGAAACCACGTTATATCGAACTTGCTTTGATCCACCGGAATGCGCAGCCCCGCCCCCCCCCGGAGCACTGCTTTACCGCATTATATCCGAATTCGTGTTATATCAGTCGCGTTATATTGGGGTAGAGGTGTAACTCGAGGACTGTGCAAAGATTATGCTTGGTAAAAGAGAAAACTGTGGAACAAGAAATCAATGAACCAAAATTAGTGTGTCGGAATTAAGACCTAATTGGTGAATAAAATAATGAGGGGATTGACTATTCCACCCCTCACTCCCTTTTTGGGTCCCTAACGAAAGAGACTTTGGGAGAAAATATGGCTGCTGGAGCAAGCTTCATCATCAAGGCTGCGAGTCCACATTCTCCTAGGACCCCGGGGGCCTTCATCATTCTGATCCTGAGGGATGTCCAGACCAGACTGGGTGAGGGGGACACAGATGACACTTCCACATCCACCAGCTCTAGCTGAATCCAAACACCACCTGGGATGTGAGACTTTGTTCGCCACGTTAGTGTCCTTTTGTTTCCCTATTTTATTTCTTCTCTTTCCTTTCTCTCTCTTTCTTCTTCTTTCTAATAAGAGTCTAGCTTAGCCAGCCAAGACTATATTTTGCAACACTGCTGTAAATCTGTGACTTGAAAGTGGCAGCTAAAAGCAATGCCCTAAACACCCCAATTCTGGTACAAGTTTGCCAGGTCTCCAAGAGGCTGATAACACTGTGTGTTGGGCCTGTGTTTTTCCAGCACTGAAGCTGCAAGTGAAAGTCAACATCAGAAACAGAAGCTGCATTTTCTACTTTTGCTATTCTTTTCTTTCCTTTTGTGTGTGTATTTGCCTTGTTTTGTCTTCTGGGAAATGGGATCGGACTTTAACAACAAGAGCAACAGCAGCAGCTTCAGCCCATCTCAACTAAATTCTTCTCCCCCCTCCCCCCCCAAAAGGACAGTTATTAACACCTTTAATACCATTTAAGAGACTGTTAAAGAAGGGGTTCTTTTTCTTCTAAAGGCTCTCTGGAGCTCTAGAAAGAAAGGGAATAAGGGTTGTTAGACTGAAAGCCTTACTTCATATTTTAGATTTCAAATGCTTTAAATGTTTTTCCTTCTCTTCTGTATCTTTAAAAAAAGGTTAAAAGGGATTTTTAATGTGTGTTTACCAAATTGCAAACCTTGTTTAACACTGTTTAATGCTGGACAGGGACTGGGTTATGTTAGCACTTTTAACTCTTTGGATCCATATACTCCATTTCAATTAATACAAGAGGACCCCTGCCCCATTTGTGCAAGAAACTGGAAAGTGTGTAGTGAATGAGGCAGGGACTGCAAGAAGAGAAAGAATTGTTTCATGGTTTAGACTGTTAGATGCAGCCCTGGAGAATTGGATTCTATCCCTGCCTCTGCCACAGACTTCTAGTGTGATGCTAGTAAATTCACTTAACCCAAACTTTTCATAGGTGATCACTAGTTGTATGTTCCTCATTTTCTGTGTGCCCAACTTGAGACCCCAGGTTCTGAGCTGCAGAAGTGCCAAGTCCTCACAAGTCAATGAGAGTTGTGCTTTGAACATAAAGTGCTATATAATGCCAAGTATTCTGAAAACTCAGGTCTCAGTTGTCCTAAATTGGGCAACCAGAATTAGCAGAAACTTTTGACTTTAATTATCTCTCTATACCTCAGTTCTCCATCTCTAAAATGGGGATAGTAGCACCTCCTCACCTTACAGGGGTATTGTGAAAATAAATTCGTTCATGTTTGCAAAGTACACAGAGATACTATTGTGATGATCATAAAAAAGCACAGGAGAAAATTAATAATTCTGTCTTCAGTGCAGGGTTTGAATAGTGTGCAGTAAATAATGCCTGGAACCACACACTGAAGAACAAGGAAAAAATAAAATAGTGTTTAACTGCTCATTAAATGAACACTATCCATCCTGTGCAATGATTGAGGCAAGGGTTCTGGGGATAAAATATGTAACGTATGTAATCGTGTCATTACAGATTGTATCATAATGCTTACGCACAAGGGAAGAGTTAATTAAGATTGCCTGGGAAACTAATTCTGGCATTTCCTAACTTTTGAGTGCTTGACTTTACAACTTAATAATCTTTTTAAATGTATTTTTGTGTCTAATATATTATTTACTTAATTGGCACATATATCAAACACACTTGCATACACACAACACATATGGTGAAGATATCCATGTGATAAGTTGCACCAACCTTACAATAAATAAAATTCATAATTTACCATACATCTTTGGCTACCTCACCTGCACTCTGCCCATTAATCCATCTCTTGTGGGACTGCTTCTAATTTTCTAAACCTCTGAACAATCTCCATGTCTTTTTTAAACCTACATCCTAGACAAATTCCCCCAAATATGGAATTTTCTCCCAACATTACATTGACCCCTTGCAGAGGACAGGCAATACTGATTACTAGTCCAGTGAAAGGTTTAAGGTCCCATACTTGATCACCTTGCACAGCTAGAAATAGGAACTTTATACCGCTGGAAAGTTAGGAAAGGGCAACTCATGTCCACCCTGGAACCCATCACTTGCTTCTATCCAAAGAGGATCCTGATATCAGACCTTCAAGAAAAGCTATTTTCAGTCAGTTTTAGAGTTTTTTATGGCTTCATATGTCCCTGTACAATTGGTTTCATGGTAACCTGGTTTTACTGGTGGAGGGATGCAAATAGCATCAAAATGTTTTACAGTGCAGTATTTCTAAAATAGTTTTCCTGTAACCTTAAAACATGGTGTGATGGTATAAAACATGGTATAAAAAGTTCATCAGCACTTGTTTGGAATCATCTGCATAGCTCACGTATGTTGTCGTCACTTATGATTAAAGCTACCATCCCAATCTTATCAACAGAAACTTTCTATCAGACCGTCATGTTCTCTGTCTCCCTCTTTCTGTATATATAGTATGGAGGTGTTGATACTGCTCTGTATTTCAGATTGAACTGCAATTTGCACTTAATGCAAGACTAAAATCCCTGTTTCACACACTAATAATTGAGTCTAATCTCCACATTTGGCATATAACTGCACAAGTTATAGTTCTAAAATATTATTCCTTGTTGAAGCCTAAACCCTGTCATGTACTGGTCTACTCTACCACTTTCGTAAATCATGTATTTTAAAAAAATGTTATTCTCCTATTTTTATTATACCACAAAACTAACTTTGATGTCCTTCACCACTGACTGTTTTCCATCATGAAACAAATAAAAATGGGCATGAGCTATTAACATCAGCCTGCTGGTAGCTTTTAAGATTCAGACAGTTAATTGCTATACTAAATAGGAAATTAAACCGGAGTTTCCTTGGGTGAGTTTCTTTATAACAGTAAGTAACAGCATCAATAAGAACAAACATTTTAGATACATTACTGCAACAATAGTGCATATTTAATGGTTTTTCAAAACAGATAAATGATATTCTCAATCATAGCAAGTAATATAGTGATATTGAAACTTCTCTATCAAATAAATAAGTATGAATAATTTTCCTGGTGCTAAATATATGGCCCTAAGCAATCTTAGACTGTGTACCCAAAATTTGAGGGCCCACAATTAGAGGCCAGTTTTGAATATTATGGACCAAGTGATTTACATCAGAGAGCATTATGTTCTTATTCCATGCCAACTACATTATGAATCAGGAGGGATGGAGTGAAATGCTAGCCTCATTGACGTCAATTGGAGTTTTGCCACTGATTTCAACTGGAGCCAGGATTTCACCCATGGGCTTTAATTTTGGTTATTACACTCACTAGCTGAGTGACTTTGGCAAAGTCATTTAGCATCTCCAAGCTTTCGTTTTCTCTTCTGTAAAATAGGGGCAATGTTAAATACTTACATCACTAAGTATTTGTGTGGAAGCACTAAGTGATGTCTGTAAATGTTTCGTAAGTGCTAATCTTTCTTAGGATTAGTGGAGGATGAAGGCTGGAACAGAACTTTGCATCATGGGCTCATTATACCATCTGTGTCATATGGCATTCTTAAGAGGCTCACCTCAAACAGGAGTGGACTTTCTAAGGTCCTTAAAACCAACATGCAGGGCTCCTAATAAACCAAATTTAATAACTCCTGACTTTCCTTCCTTCCAAACAAACAATAGGTTCTTGAAAGGCATAAGACTGACAGCTAAAACAATGTTGAGGTTCTGAGGCCAAGCCATTCTGAAATTATAATAAATCAAATCAAATCAAATAAGTTACGAAAATGTTCCAAGTTCTAAAAGTGACACCACTTCATCTGATATACACTTATACCTCCAATGTGCCTTTGCCAATTTACATCTATCTTTCAGAAATATTCTACCTTGGAATAAAATTATACCTGTGAAATTTCAGGCAGATTGATTTAAATTTTGGTTAATTTAGGGAATGGAAGAAAATTGGGCCTATAATAGGAAGCTTCTTTCAACCTTAATTATAGATAATACTATACAAGATTTAAAACATGCTTCTAGCTGCTTAAAATCCAAATGATAAAAATGCATACCATACCTTCCCAGAAAACATTTGGGGAAAGTAGTTAGTTTTCTTTTCCTGTCTTTGATCAGGTTCCCTTGTTTGCACATCATTTTGTAGAGTTTCTCTCCCTGCTCAGAGATCATCACCCAAGTGTCTTGTTCCATACCCAATTTTAAACCTGCCAACAAAATCCAAAATGCTTTTGTATTTATAAAACATTTCCCAGCTATCACCATTATCTTTCAAATTTTAGATATAAGTAACAAACATAAAAAATAAATATTTAAGTGTATAAAAGCAGAGTCATAACTGGACACATTAAATTATCTTTATGAGTACTTAGATGCTAATATTAATATGAGTAACAAATCCCCGTAAAAGTAAACAATAAAATATTCCAAAAATATCTGAGAATATATTAGAATGTTATTTATAAACTCCCTACAGTGAAGTGACAATCAATGAAAGTTCCTGACAGCATATATTTATTCTCTCTTACATTGATATCACAGTAGGAAATATTAGTGTTGTGCTTTTCATTGGTTTCAAATGGGGGGAAGGGAGTATTCTCCCCTCCCCCATGTTTGAGAAAAGCTTTTTCCATTTTTCAACTTTTATTGTGTTATAAAAAAATAATTCGTATTTATGCTTTATCTTATATAATATTATATATATAAAATAATATCTTATATAATTTGTACTTATACTTGTACTACTGCTTTATCTTTTTAAAGCTCTGTACAAAGACTAATTAATCCTCACACATACCCTTCACTGTAGAAAGGCAAGTTTAGTTCATCCTATTCTACAAATGGAAATTAGTGTTTGAATTTTTATTCACTTCGCAGTTTTTACAAAAAAAATTTACATGCTTTTCAGTTTGTTAATTTTTTCCTCCTTTTTTTGTGTTTTTCTTATGCGACCACTATTACTTCTTTTGAGTAAAAGATAGCCTTATTGTTGTTCAGAACATATTTTCCTTGAACTACATGATGTATTGACCACGCATGAAGACCTGTGCGCCCAGAAAGTATTGGAAATCATCACAGGTAAGTTTCTTTCTCTATAAATGGTTCTGAACTCTGCAAAAATTGTACAATGTGGAATTTTTGGTATGTATTTTATAGAAACATACTCTCAATTTATCTGAGTTTTTTCAGATTTTATCAGTTTTAAAAACTGGAAATCTTCTGTATGAGTAGTAGGTTATTTAATTTTTTTAATCTGCAATATAAACAAAACAAAGATAATAGTGGCATTAGTTGGAAAAAAGCTGATAAAATATAGCATTTAACATCGATACAGAAATGTTTCTCACTAAACATTCACCTGATACTGATAATCCAGACAAATGGATTAACCAATACAAGTATGTTCACTCCTGGGGAAAAACAACTTAACCAGTATACTGCCCTTAGAATATATGGGTCAAATGGCATCCTGATGCATTACACTCACATCACTTGCCTTCATTTTTTAAAATAAAGGAGTAAATGCACAACATCATCAATCTTGTTTGAGAATATGCTCCTATTAAGTTAATAAAGACAGTTTAAATGTATCTTCCTGCATTCCCTAGGTGATTGCATAAAAGCCAACAAATTGTATTACAATCCTTTTTATATAAAATCTCCTGATACAGTTGGAGTTTCCATTACACCAGAAACATATAAAATGGTCCTAGTCCATAGCTCAAGTTAGAAGATTAATATCTACCATAAACCCAATACTTCAGCTATAGCATTCTTTTCCATTTTGCTCAGTAGCATTTACCTTGATTTCAGGAACCAATATAGGTTGAATTTCTCTCAATATCTTTCACATAGCTGGTTTTGATTTAGCATTTCAGCTTATTTATTTGGGAAAGATTGCCATAGCAAGAAAAAGGTGTCCTTTTTGTTTAGATAAGGAGTTGAAAGGGATCCATATCCCAGGAGATCAACATTCTCTGTGTTCAGTTTCTTTTTTCCTCCTAGTTGGTCCAAGTCTTTTTCCTATAATCATTATCTGTACTATAAGAGTTTCTCCACTGGTCAATTTCATGTTGGATTTCCTGGTTGTGTGTCAATTAGTTCCTTCCACAAAGGAAAGCATCTGCTCATAACCTCCTTATCTGGGCAAAACTTCTAAGGAAGTCAATGAGAACATTGCCTAAGTAAGGCATTTAAGAAGCAAGGCTTATTCTAAATTGATCTGTTAGACAACACACTGATAGACTGGAGTTATAGCAGTTCAATAGCACAACTTGTGATGGAAAGATAAAGCAACCAGGTCTCTTTCATTATTGGATTTAGAATTGTAACAAGTTGCTTAAAGGTAAAAGTAAAAGAGCTTGAAAAAGTTTAGCTACAATCCATGACGTTTACATCCTACAGTTACTAGAGGGACTATGGAAAAGCATATACTACAATTTTTCAAATTATGACTACTATGATCCTAATTAAATGAATTGTGTCTCTCCCCTTTTTGATTTTTAGAAAGTTATGTGCGTGCAAACTTCATCTGAATTGCACACACATAAAACAGAAAAATTTGGTTTCATGTCTCATTAAGTAAACATAGAATTAAAGCATCTTTTTATTCGTGGTGAATGGGAAATTGTTTACAGTTACTTTTAGCGTATTTGAATTCTGTAAAGATGTTTGTTTGGTTCATGAGTCATCCGACATCCTGCTTGTAATTAAGTTGATGCATCCTGCCGCATAAGAGGTGTTTATACAGATGTTTTGGAAATTGTCTGGGTAGGAGGAGATAGAGCAAGTTTATGAGTTGTCAGAAGATAAGCATTTAAGGAACAGATTGTTAGATTCTGTGATGGGACCCAATATGACTGTTGCCCCAGTCTCTCTTTATCTCTTCTTCTGCCATTCCATCCCCTTCCCCTTTCTCTTTCTATTTACTTCCTCCTTATATCGTAGTTATATCTTCAGTGGCAAAAGTATTGCTATTAACCATTAGTTGAGAGAAACGGAAGACATGACAATATGGGCCCACATTGTAAAGTTCCATTCTGAAATCCAAAGTTCTGTAGTGTTCAAATCTTGCGTTTTCATTTCATAGAATCTCAGGGTTTGAAGGGACCTCAGGAGGTCATCTAGTCCAACCCCCTGCTCAAAGCAGGACCAATCCCCAATTTGGCCCAGTGAAGCCTGCATAGGGATCTGAACATCATCAGGCACCTCTCTACTGGAAGCAACTCAACAGCAAAATTTTATAGCACCAAGATGGGTAATAAAAACCGACAGCATATCAACATGAAACACTTTTCAAATGGCCTCACTTTTCATGTGTGAACTACAGATGTCAGTCAGGAGGCAGAGCAAATCAAGATAGATAGTACCCAGGTTGTCTGGCCTGATTGGCTGAAACCTCTCTGACCAAGTTGCATGAAAGGCCCTAAACCAAAAGCAGATAGATTTCTTTCTTGTTTTATGCACCTGGGTTTCCCCCTTGTTTCCTCACTCACCCTTTCAAACGTTGAGTACTTCGAGGTTTAAGCCCCTTCACCATTATTTATTATTAGTACTTCTACATATTTATTATTAGTACTTCTATATATTAGTGCCTAGATTCTCCAGTGGAGATTGGGGTGCTTGGTGCTGTATAAACCTATGATAAGAGACAGTCCCTGCCCTGAAGATCTTACAACCCAAATAGAAAAGGCAGATAAAGGATGGGAGAAAGAACGTATTATCATCATTTTACATATGGGGAACTCAGGCACAGAGTGATTAAGTGACTTGCTCAAGGTCACACAGAAAATCTGCGACAGAGACATGAAATGAAATCAAATCTCTTGAGCCCTAGACCAATGCCCCAACCACAAGGCCGTGCTTCCTTTCATCATCAAGACTCCATATCTTGTTACTTCCTATAATATGTTTGCTGGCAGCTGAAGTTAGTGCTATGTAAGTTGGTGCTGTGTTGTCTCTCATTGGCTTAGTTTTCGATTCTGCACTGTGTTCACCGTGAGTACCTGGGATTATGGCCACTTTTGAAATCAGGTTTACATTTTGTCTAAGGTTCTTCCACCCACATTTAGCTTTTTAGGAATGATTTTGCCTAAGATGTGGATTTTCACCTTCCTCCACTTGGGGTGTGATATGGGTGTAGGGGTGGTGTCATACTTCATATTTGTATTTCTGGTGTAACTTTTCGGGAGGGGGGGGGAAATGTACATGTTCTGGTTTTATGCTTCAGAAGATAGTCTTTGCTGCAAATCAGGATCATGAAGAACTGATGTATCAAATTACACTGCCTTCCCAGTGACAATGGTGGGCCACTAAGTGACGCTAATCACATTTATTAGCATTTTGGGGGTATAAGCTGTCATTTGCATTACCTGGAGGGTGGTTCATCTGCATGAAGGCCCAATACAGCCAGCTGGCTCATTTCAAAAGCATATGTAGCTCGTCCCAGGATGGCACCAGTAAATACAGACACATTAGCAGATATTATGGGGCAGATCCTCAGATGATGTAAATTGTCATAGCTCAACTGGCCTCAATGGCACTAGCTGAAGATCTGCCCCAGGGACTATCAAACTTCAGACCAAGGCAGCTGTCAGATTCCCATAATTCACACATCCCCAAATTGTGTAGGTGTGCCCTCCTAGGGAGATGAGACACATGTTCAGGGGGGCGCAGCTGAGCCCTAGGCAAGCCCCCACAGGGAATGGGGAGGGAGCACCACCCAGCTCCACTCCCGGCCCCGGCTGCCGGCCCTGGCTGCCAGCCCTGTGCCCGGAGCTCCGCACCCCGTACACTGGTTGCTGGCCCCACGCCCGGGGCCCCAGCTGCCGGCCCTATGCCCGGGGCTCAGCAGAGGCTCTGCTCCCAGCCACACCCCCATCTGTGGCCCCAGCCTTGGCTCCCTTACCCCTGTCCACGCCCCCTTCCCCTCCCCCTCCAGGAGCCACAGTCCCACTCCCAGTCCCAGCTCAGGGGAGAGGGGGTGCAGACCAGGGTAAGAGGGGGCACGAGGTAAAATGTTTGGAGACCACTGCAACAATAGCATCAGTTACCAGTACACATGGCTGGAGTCACATTCAGCAATGATGTCCTTCCTGGTTGAAATTTGGTTTATGTGTTTCAAGTTGTTATTACATCAGTGCTTCACAGACAATTTGACCCAACATCATGGGTCTGCCCTATCTGGAGCTTGCCACTTGGCTGTACTTTTAATGAAAATACAAATGTAACATGGTCTGCCAGAAAGAAATGCAATGTAAAGTTTATTCACCTACCTTTCCTTCTCTCTCTCTCTTTTAGAATAGCTTCCAGCCATTCTTGCTTCTCTTCAGAAGTTTTTGCCATGCATACAAACCATTTGTTCTTTGCTGTGTTGTGGATTTTCCAGCCATTAACAACAATGTGGCCACTGCTATGATAGTCAGCTGGAAATAGATAATGGAGAGAAATCTCTCAGAGTAGCATGAAATGAATTAAAATATGACTGTTTTTTATTAGACTCCCCACCATAATTCCTCAGCTCTTCCTGTAACAAACAGAAGAACAAGGAATTTAAAGTATTGTTTCTCTAATTTTGACAATCAAAATCCACACAGATTGTAAGCTATGTTGTATTTCCATATATTGTATTCCCTGCCGAAGAAGCCTTCAGTGAATTTAGTGTTTTTGAATAGTGTTAGATTGACAGCCTTGGAGCTTGAATTTCTCTATATAATCACAGATGTTCTATTATTTGTAGCTTTCCCACATTACACGACCAGAGTGCCTTGACCTAAGGCTGCGGGTTTGTCACAGAGGTCATGGAAGTCACGGATTCCGTGACTTTCCATCACCTCTGTGACTTCTGCAGCGGCCAGTGCACCTGGCTCAAGGGCAGCTCAGGCAGCCCCTGCACCAGTCGCACCGGATGCTGCTGGGGCAGTCTCAGGCCATCCCCTCCCCACCCCAGCAGCAGGTTAGTTGTAGGAGGGGGTAGGAGGTTGGGGCACAGGACAGGGTGAGGCGGGCTCAGGGCAGCACTTCCCTGTGGGGCTCCCCGGAAGCAGCCACATCCCCTGCTCAGCTTCTAGGCGGAGACGTGGCCAGGCAGCTCTGCACGCTGCCTCTGCCCAGAGCACTGGCTTCGCAGCTCCTATTGGCCGGGAACCATGGCCAATGGGATCTGCGGGGGCAGTGCCTGGAGGCAGAGACAGCCACGGCCGCTGCCTAGCAGCTGAGCAAGGTGGACGTCGCCACTTCTGGGGAGCCCCCCAGGTAAGCACCACCCAGAGCCCGCCTCACCCCATCCCATGCCCCAGCCCCCTGCCCCCTCCCACACCCAAACTCTGCTGCTGCTGAGGGGGGAGGTGCGGAGCCAGGTAGGGAGCCTGCCAGCCCTGCCACACATCCCCCCCCAGCACCAGTGGGGGTTCCAGGCCATGCGCCAATGCCCGCCCACCCCCCCAACCCTCGGGTCGCCCTCCTTCATACACACACACACACACACACACACACACACACACACACACACATTCTAGTCAGGGGTATATAGTAAAAGTCATGGATAGGTCACGGGTTGTGAATTTTTGTTTACTGCCTGTTACTTGTCTGTGACTTTTACTAAAAATACCCATAACTAGAACGTAGCCTTACCTATAGCCCAGTCTTCCAAATACAGAAATGTCAGCATTAGCACATACAGTATAGTATGTTTTTGTTTTCAAATATCTTGAATTTTCAAATCTATTAACTTTACCATATTCTATCTTATGAACAAGCTTTATGCATTTTATTATTCATTAATGTTACTTCCGTTTTAGTTACAACATGTCTTTAAAATTTTGATGTTAGTACTTTCATCTATGAATCTTATCTGGAAATCTGCTAAACAAGCAATCTTTCACACCCAAAGTAGTGTCCTTGTCTACAATGAACATCCTTCAACAGAATTATCTGCCTTTCCTTTGGGCAGAAATATTTGCAAAACCCAAGTGACAACAAAAATCATTTTATGAAAAATATAAATTAAAACTTGAATTAACTACCACTGTGCAATAAAAAAAGATTTAAGGTCAACAGTATCTCATCACTAACTTTCTTTAAGAGGCAGGAAAATCCAAAGGCCAGCCAGAAACCATCCTAATAACTTCAGAGCTTTATACTTTGCAAATCCTTTTTCATAATTCAGCCCAGTTTTGTATAATGAGATGGGATTTTCCAAAACTGAAACCTTTACCGAAATGCTTGCTGAGATTTATCATAAATCTCAGCAGACATGCTGGTATCCTTTCAATAACTCTGCATTTTAATAAGATGGAATGCAGCCAAGTATTGTATACATAGGCTGGGAAACATCAGTAACTGTCAGAATGTATTGTTCAGAGAATCAGGAAACTGATGTCTAAATATTCAGCTGAAGACTCGTTCTGGTGCTCAAAAGTGTATACGAGAGAGTGTAAGTGTGTGAGAAGGAGAAATTTACAGTAATTTTTATAACATTATATTTATTATACTATTTACAAATTTTTCTATGGCACTTATTACTGTAGTATGTGAACACCTAACAAACAAACACTGATCTACTTATCCTCACAACAACTATGTTAGGAAGGGAAATACTATTATCTCCACTTTATTTATGCACCTAACTTACATTGATTTCAGTGGAATTTAGGAGCCTAAATACCTTTGAGGATCTGGGCCTAAGTGACTAGCCAAGGTCACACAAGATGTCCATTGCAGAGCTTGAAAAAGAATCTAGATCTTCAGACTACCAGACCAGTTCCATAATCACAAGATAATACTTCCATATTTTATGTGCTGTTATTATAGTGGGAGCTGGCAGCAGCTCCTATATTTAGGTTGCCTACAATTTTTATTACAGGAGATTGCTGAAACCTTTTTCTGAGAAACTCTAACATCTCCATTGTTTGCAGCAGGTCTTTGAAATTTGGTGTGGGGAAAGCTCTTGGGTCCAAGGAGTTCGCTTGCACTGTCCCATGTATTGCCACTCAAGTTTTGATGAGTTATAAACTCTTGAAAAATACCACTTCCCGTCTTTTGTGTTATTCTGTCACTTGCATGCCTCAGGAAAAGTTTGGCAGCATATCAAAATAATAACTCAACATGAACATTCTAAGGCTGGGACCATGTTGTTGTCAAAGCATCAGCATCAGCATCAGCACACACTGCACTGGGAAAGCCCGGGAGCTGCTACAGCAACTGTAGCATGGGAGGCAAGGTAGGAAAACCAGGCCAGGCCCCTTCCACAGCCATCCGCAGACTCAGCACGTGGTCCTAGGAACCCATCTATTCCTTTCTGGGAACACATGAGGTGGGAACTCTCCTATCTCCCAGAGAGGAGGGGAACGAAAGAGAGCCTAACGTAACCAGGCTTCCTCTGATCAGTACCAGCAGCCCATCCCCTCCATTGGGATAACAACCTTCTAATGCTAACGTAGTTAGCCCTGCAGCTCATGTGGTAGCAGCCGGGCAGTGCCCAAGTTCTGGGGTTCAAGCCCTGTTGATTATGAACAATGGGGACTTGTTGCAGTTGCATGTAATAGCATTTGTTTTTCTCCTTTTTCCTTTTTTTAAAAAAAAACTAGGAAATTCTATAAAAAATATTTTAAATAAAAATATGTACATTGCAAAATCATCAAAAAGCACACAAAAACTAGTAAATGACAGATACAGAGTTGCTTATGCAATCTTAATTCAGCTCTTTGTGCACATGAATTATGGCACAGTTTTTAGTTACATGATCATAATACTGTTTTTTTCCAGTCTCATTCAGTGCATGTAAAGGATGCACAGGGGGGAGAATTAAGATTGCTCAGCAATAGCAAATCTGACATTTCCTAACTTTTGAGTGCTTGACTTTACAACCTAAATAATGTTTTTTAACATAGTTTGTTTTGTATGTAATTATAAATATACTTTTCTATATAACATTTATACAACTGAATTAAAAAAAAAAACCAGATAAACATTACCATGAAAATAATGTCTTTTCTGTTCTAATAAATACAATAAGAAAAACAACACTATGCCTCCTGATGCTTAAAACAAAATGAATAGCTTCCACAAATTGTAATGCTCAGCCAAGGCCTGGCTTCATCAAGAAAAATAGCTTTTAGGAAACACATTGTTAATTTCCCCAGGCACATCATTTGCATTATAATATATCATACACATAAACCCCTCTTTTCCCAACCATTTGCTTCTGCTAACCAACAATGAGGGATATAACAGCATTTTTCTATGTCTGTCAATCAACATACTCCCCTAACAACTCTCTCGATTACTCACTCCTGCAGAATCCTCAAGTACAACAATGGAGTCAATAAAGGTATATCAGTTTACACCAGTTGAGAATCTGACCCAATGATTTTAAGAAAAAAAGGTTGTTCATTGAAGGCTTGCACACCAAAAAATTGCACATCAGAAGATCTGGAAACACCACTCAGCCTCCATTTGTCTTTACTGTTATTAATATTTATAAAAAGAGCAGTATATTTGTGTGAAGTTTTACAGAAATTCAAAGGCAAGAGCCATACCCCACATAGCTCACAATCTAAATTAAATTAAACACTGAACAAAATGATGGCAACAGATAATTAAGGGGAAGAAAATAATATAATTCCAAATAGGAATATGCAAAACAAATGTGAATGAAGCTTGAAATAATAGATCAGTACATTTAGCAATAAGACAGGGCAAAAGAAAAGAAGCAGATAGCACTAGGTTAAACATCAGCTGTAGAAGCATCATGAATTAAGTGGGTTATAAAGGAGGCATTTGAATGGACACAGGGAAAGGGAGATCACACACAAGGGGGCAGCGTGAAAAAAGGCATGATGATGCAAGTGGGAGAGAGAGATGAAAGGAGCAGCAAAGTAAGAAGCTATGGTGCAGCATAGGTTGTAGGGACAGCTGTATGTAGAAAAAAGGTGTTGGCAAGGGGACAGTTGTACAGGGACCTGAAAATGAAGTTGAAGCATTTTAACATCATACAGAGAATCAGTGAAGCAACATAAGGAGGGGTGACACGGCAAAAGCAGCAGAAAAGGAAGAGTATTTTAGCATTCTGTACAGATCGATGGGGGTAGGAGGAGAGTCAAGGATGCAGGAAGAGAGGAGGTTACAGTAATCCAGGTAAGAGAACCAAAACATGAATGTAGGCCTTAGCAGCAGTGAAAAGGGGAAACACTGGATTTTAGTAAAGCTTCAGAAGAAGAAGTGACAAGATTAAATAATAATCAGGATGAGAGGACAGAAAGAAAGGAAAGAGTGAAAGATAATCCCCAAGGCTTTTAAGTGACTGAGGGGATAACAGCATTTTCTTGGGAGGGGGGGGAAGAGAAATGAGAGAGAGGGAAACTATATAGGAGTAAAGATGAAATGTTGATAGGCTTGAAGAATCAGTATGATAACCAGGACAAGACAATGAAAGGTGAGGAAGGATGTGAGCCTGAACAGAGTGGAAGAGATTAGGAATTGAGAAGTGTGATGGGGCAGGTCAGCAATATATTTATGGTATGAGAGATCATGGGAGCAAATGAGATCACCCAGGCGTTAGATGTCAGGTGAAGAAAATGAAAGGACTATCGCCAAAACTATAGCAAACACAAGAGTGAAAGGGGAGGAGAAGGAACAAGAGGGTTCACTAAAGACTACATTGAAGGAGTGGTCAGCAAGGTTGGAGGAGAGCCAAGAAAAGATGAGAGACACAAAAACCCAGGGATGAAAGGGTCCCACGTATAAGTTGGGGGTTGAGAGGCCAAAGATTATAGAAATATCAAGAATAATGGGTAAGGAGATATCATCCTTCGACTGGATGAGGAAGAGGTCATTAGCGTCTTCTGTGAGGTAAGTTTCAATGGCACAAAAAGGGTGGAAGCCGACTGAAAAAGAAAATGGAGGAGCACTGGGAATAGACAGCATGCTCAAACAGCTTGGAGATGAAGAGCAGGGAAAAGGAACAAAAGTTAGAGAAGGAAGCAGGACTGAAAACCCTCCTTCTGACTTGCTATGAAGATAATTATCATCCTGTAATCTTGAAAAAAAATGAAAAGCAACCAACTACCGACTCCCTCCCTCCTTCATCTACCTGATTTCTCCACCCACCACCTGCTTCTTCCATCAGACAATGAAACCTTGCATTTAGAAAATGTTGAAAACAGATTTCAATCATTTCCAAACTTTTTTCCCCAAAATTTTTTGAATAAGGAGATTTGTTCAAACTGACCCTTTTTCATGAACAGTTTCGATTTCAACAAATAAACATTTTCTAATGAAAAAACATTTAGTTGGATAATTCTCAATCCACTCTATCCATGAGCTCCCTCTCCTTCTTCCTACCCCTCTCACTAGTAAGCCTTCCTCCTGTGGGGAAGAACGGGCTGCTTCTTTCCCTTCCCCATTTCCCCTCTCCTCCTTCTATGTGCTGCAGGGTGTGAGGCAGAAATCCCAAACTGAAAAAACAAACCTCCAAAATATTTCATTTTTTTAAAACTGAAAACCAAAAACATGTCGTGTTGGTAAAAATGTTTGTATTCCAAAAACCTGGCAAATTTTAACTGAAACCCAAACATTTTTACAAAATGTTTTCAGTTTTCACTTTCCAGGGTGTGTGGCATGTGTGTAGGTGTGTGTCTTTAAACAAAAAACAAGAAAATTATGACCAGCTCTATGCATTAAAATTGTAAAGGAATAAAATATCTTTTTTTCCTTTTCCTCTTTTTAACTTATTATGTTGCAATTATAGCATATAAAAGCAAATAAGATAATGTTCTAAAAGACGCAACTTTCAAAACTGTTTTTACTACCACATTATAGGAACAGGAATCTCCCATGTAAGCATGCTGGATGTTATAAAGTGAAATTTAAAGCACCATTTCAGTCAAGACAATAAAGATCACTTTAGCATTTCATCATGACTCTGCCACCAGTTTAAATCAGTCAGCTGTGACTGATTGACTAGGGGCTTGTCTTCACTTCCAGGGTAAGTCGACCTAAGTTTCACTACTCCAGCTACGTGAATAACATAACTGGAGTCGATATAGCTTAGGTCGACTTATCCCGGTGTCTTCACTGTGCTGTGTCAATGGAAAATGCTCTTCAGTTGATTTCCCTTACTCTTCTGAGAGAGCTGGAGTACTAGGGTCGACTGGAGACCACTCTGCTATTGATTTAGTGGGTCTTCACTAGACCCGCTAAATTGACCCCTGCTTCATCGATTGCAGGGGCATTGATCTCCCCATAGTGAAGACCAGCCCTAAAACAGTAACTGCCCAGCTCATAATGTTTGAAATCAATGATGTGTCACAGAAGCACAGTTTTAGTGGCACTATCTGCTTCTATAAAGTGAGATCTTTATTATTTCCTTTAAATCTGATACTGCAAGGTGCTGAGCACTCTCCACTCCCTCAGGAATCAATGGCACTTGAGACTGCTTAATGCTCCACAAGAGATGCTCAGCACCTTACAAGATGAGTTTCTTTATGTTATAACTGATCACTGCAAATGTACTCACCTGTGCCATCATCTACGTTCTCCACTTCCATTACCTCTGTGTTTATTCTGCCTCGAAAAAGATACCGATGGCCATCAGTAGATGCTTTGCTGTTCTTCAATCGTCTTGTAAGAGAAAAAGCATAAGAACATTGTCCAAACACCATACTATACATTGTTTCTGTACCAAAACTACTATTATTTTTATGCATTTCAGTAGCATCTAATGGCTGCTATAAGAATCAAGGTCCAATTGTACTGGTGCTGTAGAAATCAGAATGGACCCTGTCACAAAGAACTTACATCTCTTATAGAGCTGTTATAAAATTATAGTTAACTCATAATATAGTTTAGATAGCATTAGTACAGTGGGGAAAGTGGAGAAGGTTCAGTTAGGATGACACCCCCTCCCCCTCCATACACACACACAGCATTTTCATTCTAAACCTCTTTTATCAAGGAGTCCGGTGACACCTTAAAGACTAACAGATTTATTTGGGCATAAGCTTTCGTGGATAAAAAACCTCACTTCTTCAGATGCAACCTTATGCCCAAATAAATCTGTTAGTCTTTAAGGTGCCACCGGACTTGTTGTTTTTGTGGATACAGACTAACACGGCTACCCCCGATACTCTTTTATCAGTCACTTCTAGTTTGATTAACTACCTTTCGGGCTGAAGCCTCTCATGCTTCCAGGAGAGAATCATTCTGGAATGTTTGATAAACATTGATGCATGTTGCATCCACTATCGAGTTATCAGAACAAGAAGTTTTTTTGGAACTGTTAGGAAATGTTCTGAGGCTCTTGGCTCTCAGATATCTCTAAGACCAATTTCTTTTCTAAACTTCCAATATGCGATGTAGGGAGCTCTGGGTGAAGAATACGTTCCACTTTATTTCAAAAGCGAATGCCTGAAAGCACAGCATAGCTTATGACTGTGATAACCGTGTGCTGAATATGCACAGTAAGTTATTTTCTTTAACTTCTTAAGCACTAATTGAGGTAGGATACTCCAAGTATATCCACCTGCATTAACTTGAATGATCCATTACGCTTACAGGGAAGTTTTCTTTCCCATATGCTTATCTGAACAACAGTTTAGTTACTACATTTTTATCAAACATAAAACAGGCATATTGACCATGCAAATTTTTTCTTGCTTCAGTATTAAAAGAGGGTGACACAAATACAAAAGGCCGGGGAACACAGCAGAGATGAGGCAGTATGAGCTATGAGTTCCAGTTGGTACACATATTGTTTTTATAGAAATTATAGCAATTAAAACCAGCATTGACTTTAATGAGGTCTGAATTTCACCCTTCATTCTTTAATTTTGGTCACCTACATTTGTATAGGTGATATTTGATTTAGCAATGTTAGGCCCCCATTCAGAGAAACACTTAAGTACATGCTTAATATTAAGCACAGTTCCATTGACTTCAATGAGAGTGAAGAACATATAAGCATGCGCTCAAGTAGTATCCTGAACAGAGATGCTTTCTAGAATCAGAGCCATAGTGGTGAAATACATATATTGGCTACAGTTACAAACATTCTAAACAGGAATCTATCTTTGGTGATGGGAAAGGAAATAAGGGGGAAGAAAGGAGAAGGAAGAATCTTAAGACTTTACAGTCATAGATCAAATGCTTACAGCTTCAACATGGAATTTCAATATTTTATCCAGGATGGGCACCTTTTCCTCTAATAATAACTCATCTTAGCCATTCACCTAGATGCCTGTTCCTCTCGCACAACAGACTGTAAACACACTTATGGGGCTGAGTAAAAGTTCTTAAAGGAACCTTAACCATGAATCCCCTTATTTCTGTGAAACTAAAATCTCAAGCCCTGTAACACACTAACTAGGATTCAATTTGTTCTCATTGAATTATAATTTTCTCTATATCTGATCACATAAGTGATTACAGGCAAGGCAGTGTGACCTAAGGGCTATAGCCTGGATTGGAATTTAGGAGACCTTGGTTCTATTCCTGGCTCTGCCACTGGCATCCTGGGTGACCTTAGGCAAGTCATTTCCCCTCTCTGTGCCTACCAGCTCTTTTTATGGGAACCATTACAGGAGAAGGCTGAATCAGTGCATTTCCTGGCCACTGTGACAAAGTTCCCTTCAAAATTGGTGCCATCAACTTTTTGATCTGTAGTGGCTCCCTATTTCTTCCTAACGCAAAAGAGTCTGTGGCTGATCTCCACCACTGAAGCATGCTGCCTTGGCAGACCTAACACACCCAACGCCTTCCACAAGGGTCTATTCCGGTAGAAGCCACTATAGATCCTAGAGAACATCTTTCCCAAAATCTGTAACTAATGCAGGTGAAGAGATCTTCATAGCATCGGGATATAATCTTATCCTGATGCTTTGGGATAAATAAATCAGAGCATACTGTACATATGATAACATGAATAAAGAATATAATTTATTTTGTACAAACATTGAGAAAATAACTAGACAGATTTTTTTTAGGAATAAGGAGTCAAATCTATTCACAGCTGTCTAAAAAGTATATATCTGACAGTTTTCAAACAGGAATTGTACTCCCAATCAACACAATAGACAGTTGAAGTCTCACACTCATTTTCTAAGACTTCTCACACAACCTTAAATATATATTATTTACAAATTATTCATTTAGGGTCATTCATTCATTTATATCCAGAATTCCACTGACTTGGATATCCTTGGATGGTTATAGGTAAGAGTCTAAGTTCTACTGACTTTCAATGAGATTTAGGCTCTTAAATGTACGTCACTTTTGAAAGTGGTTGTTAGGATTATAAATCCCATAGGCACTTTTGAAAATATATCACCCAACCTCAATTCTGTAAAGGGCATCTGTGCAGGCACAGGGGTCCTCTTGCATGGTTCTCTTTGCAATGTTGGGTGCCTTATACCACAATTAAAACAGTTTCCCCCATCTCTGTAGTAGTTATTTAGGCAATATCCATTTTTTTTAAAGTCTCTCACTAGGATGTACTTGTTTATATGGGAAAAATGTAAATAATTTCTACAGTAAAATCTAATAAATTACCTGTGTTTTCGTTTACAGTAGACCAAAAGATTGTCAAAAAGAAAAAATACCCGCTCCTGGATATTTCCTGCAGAAATTTTCAGCAAAACTCCATACATTAGCATTTCCGTGCATGAATCTGTGATGTTGGACCCCTAAACCAAATCAAGAGAAGCAGATTAGTCCATGCAAATTGATGATGTTTGCAAAACGAAGCAGAATGCAGTTTTCTATACAAATTAATTTTCAATTATAGTAGTTCCTTTTTTTAAAATTACTAGAAAGAAAAACCCACAGTAGCTTGCTTTTAAGTTTAAACATTGATTTGAAATGTTTATTTAATGAAGACTTTGCATTAATCCAGTGTTACCATCAGGTTCTGGGGTTTATTTTCTCTCTTTCTTTTTGTGGATTATTAAATCTCCCAAATTACATTAATCTCTGTACATGACAATTTAGCCAAATGGTTAGAGTTAGGTTGGCTATAAAAACCATAACAATGACCTTCAAATAGCTAAACTATGGTGTCAGTGTTCTAAAGAATACTTTTAAAAATAAAATTCTTATGAAAAAATGAAATTAGAGGGGCCATGTTTCAGAAGACTGCATACAATATAAATTCTATCCCACTGAACCTAATTTGTCAGTGAAGTAGTTCTGATGTATTTTAAATAGTTAAATGTATGTACTTTCATACCAAACTTTCAAAAAAATAAAAACAAAAACAATCAAATTACAAATTATAGACAAAGCTGACAATAAAGGTTTTAACACATTCCAAGTTTCAGTGAAAATAGGTCAGCTGTTCCAAAACTAAGGCTAGTGAAAAATAAGTAGTTTTGCCAATGATTAAAAAGTTCTCCAGTGGTTGGTTTGAAGAGTTCTAGCACCTCCATGCTTTAGAAAAGGAATTTGACATTTGGCTGGGAGATTGCCTATCTTTTGCTGCCCCCTGACACATGGTCGGCTCTGGCTTTTTGGCCTCCCCAAGCAAAAACAAAAAACAAAAACGGGGCAGCCAGAACGGGAAAGCAAAAAAAAAAAAAAAAA